GATTGAGCAAATAAAATTTCAGAATGCCTGGTTAAATTTGAATTTCAGAAAAACAACAAATCTTTTCGTGTGTGTTCCATATTTGGTACATATACTAAAAAAAAAAAAAATCCTTTTTTATCTGAAATTTGGATTTCGCTGGGCACCCTGCATTTTATCTGGCAGCCCTAGCTCAAAGCCTGAAATAGTTGCTGTCTGCCTCTTTACAGAAAAAGTTTGCCGACCCCAGGCTTACACATAGCAAACAAGATCAGGTGTCAGAAGGCCTTAGGACACTGCCTGGAGCCGAGGTCCGTAAGCACTGGCTGCTGGTACTAGTGTTATTCATCAGAGTGGTCACCAAACAGATAGTGAGCACTTTCCACGTGCCAGGCACTGTCCTAGGGGCTCAAGATCTACGTGGGAAGACAGACACTAGATGGATAAACCCCCAGAGGTGTGGGAAAGTCAGGCCGAGCGTCAAGCCAGACACTCTATTTTAGACAGGGTGGTCTGAGCCCTCACCCTTTTTTGAGCTCTGTGCATGTTTTGTTTTAAGTTTTTAAAGCAGGAATTTATATTTAGAAACTCTCAAGAGACTTTAAGCAGGCCCAAAGGCGTCCAGGTTTAATAGAAGATCATCCTGAGGCAATGTGTGTTGGTTTCTCCATTACTCAGGCATCTATTTGATCCTTGTTAATGAAACACCCTGATGATTCTTCTCGTTGGGTCCTGGTGATTTCCTCTGACTGCTGCTATCTTTCAGTGGCCATCAGCTCACAAACAGTGAAAAATATATTACCAGAAATAATCATGAAACATCTGCAGATCCAACTCCAATATCCTGTCTGCATTCTTCTTTGAAACCAGGTCCGGTGATTATCAGTTTGAGTAGTGGAGACCTTGGTGAGTGTCATCTGCAAAGACTGGTATCATCTGCAGCTCTTTCAGACAGAAACCAGAAAACACCCTTCGAGACAAAACACCCAGAGCTCTGCACACGTTTTTAGGAAATTCTCACATAGCAGCCCTGAGAGGTGGTGTGGGTTTCACCCCCATTTCACAGATGAGGAGACTGAGGCCTGAAGTCACCCAGCCAATGGCTTAACTGGAGTTTGAACTGGGCCTGGTGGCTCTCAAGCTCATGTTCTTACTCAGTGCACTAGTGCCTCCCTTTAGATGGTGCCAATCTGTTCTGGGTCCTTTGAGGCCCTCGGCCTGCATTTTCCACAATCCTTTTGATAGCCCTGAACACTGGGCCATGTTATTTCCTTTCGAAGATTAGAGAGCATGAACACAGCTGGGTGGAGAGGAGTAGCAAGTTCGTTTGGGACCTGGCAGGGTTCAAGGTGGGCAGCATGAGGATACCTGGGTGTGGGCAGGTGGCAGATATGAGGAGGGGAGTAGACGGGGCAAGCCTGGGAGCCCCAGGAGCCTTCCTTCCTGCTTTGCATATTGGCCAGGATTTCCCTGCCTGAGATTAATCCTCCTTTTATGTTGTTTAAATATTTGCAGGAAGAGGGAGGGATGGCGGGAGGGCGGGGCTGGTTTCCAAAGGTTTGCAGGGTGGGACTGGAGATGGGGTGGGCATGCGCTCTGAGGTCTGACGTGGAGGGGCGGGGCCAGGCCAGGCCCGCAGGCCAGTGAGGCCTTGATTTGGAACATCCATTGTGGGCCAGGGTGTGGACTGAATAGTTACTGTAGACTCAAGAGTCCCTACAGTTTGTAGAATTCCTACCAGGTGCCTGGTGCAGGTACTGTCTCCATGATCTCCTTCAAGCCTCTCATTACCCCTGTGAGGTAGGGGTGCTGTTGTCTCCATTTTGCAGATGGGGAACCTGGTCCAGCATCATGCGGATGGTGAATGGCCCAGGGTTTGAGCTCAGGTCAGTGACTCCACATTCTGAGCTCTTAGCCCCTTTCAGCTGCCTCCTGACATCTTGTCCTTAACATGGCTCAGTGTTCAGGGCTAATCTAGGTCCAAACGGATGTTCAATGAGAGCCCCATCATTGAAGCAGCTGTTGGCAGACTCCTGAGAATGGGTGCCAGAGGAGGATAAAAGCTTCTTGACCATTTCGACTTTTGAGGTCCCCTCTTCCCCCACAGGAAGTGGTGGGCGGAGTCAGATCCTGACTCCCAGGTCCGTGCTTCTTTTGGTCCCTAAGTTCGGAGAGACTGAGGAATCCCTTCTCACAGGTTTCTCACCACCTTGGGATTTCAGAGGGCCTGACCCAGTACAGGGCGGGGCAGGCGGCGGAGCTCCAGGTCGGGCCCTCAGACAGATCTGGGTTCAGATCCCAAGTGGGCCCCTTCCTGGCTGTTTGCCCTTCGGGCAAACTGCATAAACTCTCTGAGCCTCAGTTTATCTATCTTTTAAATGGGAAAATAATGCTTTTGTGAGGATTAAAGAAAATGTTCTATACAAAGCACCTGGTGCATAGGAGGCACTCAGTAAGCGTTCTCTCTACTGTAAGCTGGGAAGTAACAAAAGCATTGGTTCTGAATGGCCTCCAGACAAACAAAGGTCTGAATCCCGCCTCCTCTGCATGACCTTTTGTTGGGTGATCTTTCTGTGTCTCAGTTTCCCCATCTGTAAAATGGGGAACAAAGACCCCCGGTCTGAATCCCGCCTCCTCTGCGTGACCTTTTGTTGGGTGATCTAATCTTTCTGTGTCTCAGTTTCCCCATCTGTAAAATGGGAATAATTCGGGAAACTACCTCATTAAGGTTGTGCCTACAATCAGTCCCTGGAGCATGGTGAATGCTCAGAAAACAAACAAAATGAAACCTGAACTTCAGTGTCATAAAACTCCCGACTGTTTGCTAGCCCAGCCTGCCTTTTCACATGTAACAGCACATTGAATCCTCATCACAGCCCACAGGATGATCGGTCCGCTTATGGAAGAGGAAACAGACACCAGCAGGGGTGCATTACTTGGCTGGGCTCACCTAGGACTGAGTGCCCGAGCTGGGATGTAAATGGAGGTCTGTGTGACTCTGAAGGCACCAACCACAGCGTTGCCTCTGTGCTTCCTGAATGGGGCGTGGTTTCTGGGCCAAAGCTTAGAAAACCACACAGGTTGCCAGGAGCCGGGATGCCACATTGCTTTCGCCCCCATCTCCAGACCACCTCCAGGTCCTTCAGAAATGCTGACCAAGTTCAAGCCCATGGCTGGGAGGCTGAGGGGGAAAGGTGGTTGAGCTGAATTTCGGAGGTTCTGTGGCTGCCTGGCCCTCTGCCCTTGCTCACAGGTCTGTGTGGTCTGTCCCCTGGGATGGGGAGCAGCATCTTTCGTCCTGCAGTGAGGCAGTGCAGTCTTCTGTTAGACTCTCAGTGACCTTCTGGGGAAGGCGCCCATCCGCATTGCCTTTTTAATCTCCTCTCCTGGCCTCAGGCTCAGCTTGTTATTAACTAGGACGAGGTTCTAGCCCACGGCTGGCAGCCAGCGGGGTGGTAGGGGGAGTCCTCACTTGCTGGAACCCTTGGTGCTGCAGTCCCACCTGCATCACCCACTGCCTGAGATCCATCCCCAGGACAGGAGGCCTGGGGCCAGACAGCCGCGGGCTCCTCCCTGTAGCACTTACCGGCTGTGTGGCTGAGAGAGGGGTTGCCCTTCCTGAGATTCAGGATCCACAACGGTAAACAGCCTGCTCTGCTTTGCAGTGTGGACTGGACACAGCGAGTGTAGTCAAGGTGCCACTAGGAAGCAGATGGTTCCCCCAAACGGAGTAAATTAAGGTGACTTTAATAAAGGGGCTATTGACGGAGGCGAGGGATGCCGGGAGACAAGGAAGGGGGCAGCACCCCGCGACTGTTAATGGGGGCAAGGAGGACCAGAAACCGGCGAGGGAGAAGCCAGGAGAGGGGGGCTGGCTGTGTGGGAGGGTCCCTGGACAGGAGCTCTGACTGCTCCGGCTCTTCCTTAAGGATTGTGGGAGATCATTTAAGATCCTCCCCGCTCCTCTTCTTTCCCTACTTTCCCCCTCCTCCTCCTTCCCCTCCAGTCTTCTACTGCAGTCCGAGTGCTTGAGAATCACCTGGAAGGCTTGATAAACACCATCTGATTCAGTGGGTCTGGGTGAGCTTAAGCAATAGTGTTTGAACCCGTTCCCAGCTGGTGCTGGGCTGCTGGATCCTGCATCTCTCTTAGCTTGTCCTGCCTCGGGCCTCACTGGAGGGGCTTCCCGTCCAGTGAAAGCTGCCCTGTCAGGACCGGATCCCTGTCTGGCACATCAGAGGTGCTTGAGAAGGATTTGTTGAGTGACTGAATCTGGTAGGGAAAGCATGTAGCCTGGGAGTCAGACGCAGGCTGGAGTTCTGTCTCCACTCTGGGCCGGCTCCCCTTCTCTGGGTGAGTCGCTTCACTTCCCCGAGCCTCTGTTTCCCCAAATAAGATCACAGATCCAGCTGGCAAGTGACGACTAGGGATTTGAAACCAGGTCTGCCAGCTTCCAGGGCTGAGCTTTTACACAGCACCCTCCTGATTCTTTTATATACCTGTTTTGTTCATTCGTTCGTTCATTCATTCATCCACTCATTTAGAAAATATTTATTGAGCACTTACTGTGTGCACCAGGCACTGTTCTTACTATGCACCAGGCCCCATGGGCACAGCAGCGAACAAGGCAGACCAGGCCCTGCCCTCGGGCATGTATATTCTAGAAGAAGGAGGCAGACAGTAACAACACTTGGGATGGGAATAGTGTGAGTGTTCTTTCTAGAATGAGATGGATGGAGGCGGGAGGGCTGCCTCAGATGATGTGGTCAGGGAAGGAGATGACATCTTGGGTGACACCTGAGAAAAAGCCTGCCATACAAGGAGCCTGAAAGAATGATGCAGTAAAATGTGAAGGGTGCAGCTATCCCAGGCCACAGGCCTTGGATCTACAGAAGACATGGTGCTTAGGGTGTAGAAGGGAAGCAGTTATCAAAATTCTCCAGACAGCCTGGGAAGGCCCCAGGGGTGTCTGCACCCCAGGTCGCATTGGGGTCTCCCCTCCAGCTGCCTCTGCCTTCCAGGTGAAGCAGATCATGGAGGAGGCCGTCACACGGAAGTTTGTCCACGAAGACAGCAGCCACATCATCTCCTTCTGTGGTGAGTCTGTGGCCCGTGGCCTTGAACAGTGGCTTCTTCCTCTGTGGGCTGCCTTGGGGAGGGCATGTTTGAGCAAGAATTCTCACCTCATGTTTTTTTTTTTTTTTTTTTTGCTTTGTAACTTTGAAGGTATTTTTGGATTCCTTCATTAGGGAATTGGGAAATACAGAAAAGTTTAGAGAGGAAATTAAGCATAACCTCTGGACCCCATGAAGCGGGAATCATGGTTAACATTGGAGGCCTGGCTTCCCCTGCTGTGGGCTCAGTTCACACTGACCCTGTCCCATGCGACAGGGGTCCTGCATCTGAGGAATGGACTCAAGTCCTTTCCTCACTCTGCCTATGGCTGGTGCCAAGTAAAAGGAGGGGACGGATGGGGACTTTTAAAAAACGGAATGAAGAGCTGTGGACACATCCTGAGGTCCTGAGGGATCCTGTCTAGCTGGCTCAGCAAAGGAGGCAGGACCAGCGCTCAGAGCGTGACTCACTGCTCTCCTTGAACCAGCTCTGCTCACAAGGTTCCCGAAATAACCTCACTGCCAGGTTCTTACTGTGCATTCCAAATGGCTAGAGGGACACGTGTTTTGCGTGTCCCTGAAATCAGGATTCAGCTCATAATCAATGTGTACATACAAGCAGACGTGTTTCTTTTTTTCTCCCCCAAAAGCTATTACACGATTGGAGTGTCTCGTAATGAAGGACATGCTGTAATTTCCCTCTCCTGGTCTTAGCTCCATGAAGCTCTGTTCAGATGACTGGGGACACCACCAGGGTCCTGTTATAATGTTATCATGTCAGCTGTTCCTGGAGTCTCAATAGTGATGATGATGATGATGATGATGATGTGACTCCTTAACACAGATGACACTCAACAGTCCTGTGGTCCAGTCTCCCCTCCCCCATTAACAGGAGGAATAGGTAACAGTCGGAAAGCACTCATAGGTCCCCGGCTCTGTGCTAAGTGCTTTTCATGCATTTTTCCCACCTCATCCGAACAGCAACCTTGTGAGGTTAATGTTCATACTGTCCCCATTTTACAGCTGAGGAAATAGACTCAGGAAGGGGGAGTCATTGCCTAAGTCACGCAGCTGGGGAGGGGCTGGGAGAGGATGTGAGAGAGGCGGTCTGACCTTGGGCTGTGAGTGTGGGTTAACCACTAAGCTCTCCTTCTCTCTTTTGAGGGGGTTGAAGGTGGAGAGGCATACATGCTTTTCCCTGTGATTCTGGGGGGGCCCCCCCGCTTTCCCAGGTGCCCGTGTGACTGAGCTGGGTGCTGGGGAGCATGGGCAGGGCAGGGCCTGCTGACCATTGTCTCTGCAGCGGCTGTGGAGGCCTGCGTCTTGCACGGGCTGCGGCGGCGGGCGGCTGGCTTCCTGCGCAGCAACAAGATCGCGGCTCTCTTCATGAAGGTGGGCAAGAGCTTCCCGCCAGCTGACGAGCTGAGCCGCAAGGTCCAGGACCTGGAGCAGCTGATAGAGAACGCGTGAGTGCAGAGCATGGTGTACAGGCTGGGGGAGTCCCCCAGACAGTCCATGCTCTTCCCCGGGCTCTGTGAGAGCTCCGGCCTCCCAGCACTCCCTCCGCTCTCCTTTCTGCTCCTCTGACCCGTCAGACTCTTTTCCACCCCAGGGCCTTTGCTTATGCTGTGTCCTCCACCTGGTTCTCATCCCTCATCTTCCATGGCTGGTTCCTTGTCATAGTCAGGCCTTCCCCTAGCTAAGGGTAAATTCCAACCCTCATCCCATTTCTCTTTCATATCATCTTGTTTATTTTCTTCACAATTGTTATCACCATCTATAGTTATTCATTCATTTGTTTGTTTACTATTTACTTGATTATTGTCTGTCTCCCCTTTTTGCCTGAACTCCATGAAGACAGGCAACTACATCTGTGTTATTCCCCATATGTCCCCAGCGTCTGGGAGAGCCTAGCACCTGGTAAATACCCAAGAAACAGGTGTTGAATGAGTAAGTGCCTCCTGTGAGCTAAGCCCTCTTCTAAATGCAGCAAGGCCAACGTTTAATAGAACCAGTGTGGTCTTGTCCACATGGGCCTCTGGTTAAAACTCACATTGAGGCAACCACCAAAGGGGAGAGGTGGCTTCACACGCTCGTCTTGGTGGCTGATTGTATGTGTTGGGGTGGGGAGAGGGAGGCTCATGGCCTGAGTGTTTGTACGTAAGTGCCTCCTGCCAGTGTCACTCCCAGAGTTCCCACCTGGAGCCTGGTCAGGGATGGCAAATAAGTTGCAACTCCAGTGGCTCCTGGTGGCTGCCCGAGGACCGTGTTATGAAAGATTCTGCAGCTGTGATTGGGCTTCTTGGGAAAGAGTGCATGGATTGATTAGCCATGTCTGTTACGGGCAAGGGAAGGGAGAGAGATATATGCATGCCATGTGTTTACCATCTCTGCCACCGGTGGTCACTCTACTTCACTGGATGAGTAGTGGCCCTTTTCTTGACCTTCAGGCCCTGCCTGCCCAGGGCTGCTGACCAGAACTGCATGATGGGCAGGGCTCTAGATCTGGCATTGCCAGCTCCCATTTGGCATCTGAATCCCCAGCTATTTGGTCTTCAGGAGCCTCTAGTCCAGTGGTTCTCAACCTTCTGGCCCTTTAAATACAGTTCCTCATGTTGTGACCCAGCCATAAAAGTATTTTCGTTGCTACTTCATAACTGTAATGTTGCTACTGTTATGAATCGTAATGTAAATATCTGATATGCAGGATGGTCTTAGGCGACCCCTGTGAAAGGGTCGTTCGACCGCCAAAGGGGTTGCGACCCACAGGTTGAGAACCGCTGCTCTGGTCCATCTGCTAAATCTCCAGATGCTGCTGATAAATTTCTTAAAGGGATGGGTTTCCATGGGGCTTCCATAATACTGGGAGTGACTTGTTAATGGAGGAATTCAAGATGCCCATAGCAGGTGGTAAAGGAGCGCCATCATTCATTCATACAATCATGCATTTATGAATAGCTATACTGAGCCCCTCCTACATGACAGGCACTGTGCTAGGCCCTGACATGAAGAGGAACCGTTCTTACCCTGGGGTAGACTCTCAGGAAGTATTGTATTTAAAAAATAATTGCATCACTTAGTTCATGCCCTGATGGTCACAGTGTGGAGGGGAAGACAGAAGAGTGAGCAGGAAGTTATGCTTCAGAGTCATAAGGGCACAGAGGAGAGCCCCTCCCCCAGTTCTGGCTGGTCTGAGAGGGCTTCTACAGGAGGGGAACGTCCTCACTGAGACCTAAAGAGTGAGAAGGGGTGAGCCTGGAATGGGATAGGGAGGGAAAGCAGGAACAAGCAGCTCATGGAAAGTCCTCAGATGAGAGCCTGGCAGCCTCAGAGATCTGCAGATTTCTCTGTCTAGCTAGATCATGGGGTCAGAAAGGAGAGTAGTAAGGGGATGGATGGAGAGGTGATCAGGAGAAAGGTCACGGAGCGCCCTGTCTGTCATGTGAAGCTTGCGTTTCAAGGGCAGTCAGGAGCCACTGAAGGATCTATAATCCAAGACTCTCCTTGACCAGCACTCCTTTCTAGGAGAGAGAGAGAGAGAGAGAGAGAGAGAGAGAGAGAGAGAGAGAGATTGAGAGAGAGAAATATCAGTATGATATTCTAGCTTACCCATCAACAGTGTATGAACTTGTCTCTTTACCACGTCTTCACTCTCACTGGGTATTATTTTTTTTCAACTCTTTACCCATTTGCCAAGAGCAATATGGTTTTAGTTGCCATTTCTTTATTTCCTAGATAGGTTGACCATTTTCCCATTTGCATATTGATCCTCTTGGATTTTCCTTTTTGGTGAATATCTTTTCTCCTTCCTTACTGGTCTCAAAGGCGAAACCAGATCCAGGGCCTCCAGGAGAATGTGCGGAAGCTGCCGAAGCTACCCAACCTGTCCCCACTTGCCATCAAGCACCTGTGGATCCGCACGGCCTTGTTTGAGAAGGTCCTGGACAAAATTGTGCATTACCTTGTGGAAAACAGCAGGTGAGCGGGAAAGACCAGACACCTGGGTGCACTCTGCCTCCACCTGCTGGCAGTCTTGGAAATTGCACCCCTTGCACAAAGCCACTTTCTTTTTGCCGCCTTGATGTGCACTTGATTTAAAGGTACTAAATACAGGTCGTCTGGACATTTGAATCTGAACTGGCCTAGATTAGAACCTTGGGAAGATTCAGGTGTTTAGTAGCAGTGCGGGGTCTTCGCATTTGGAATGAGTTATTGAGATTTTGGTGATCTTTCTTCTCCAGCGAGTTAAGCCCATAGTCTACTCGCCGCCAACCATATGGCTGTAGGGAAATCACTTAGCTGCTCTGTGCCTGTTTTCTCTTTTGGTAAGTGGGATAGGGATTGCTGCCACTTCGAAGAAGAGATGAGAAAGGGAGTTAGTCATTTTGGAAGTGAATAATGACTCTTTCTACATCTTCTCTCCTGGCTGGCCTAGATTAGAACCTTGGGAAGATTCAGGTGTTTAGTAGCAGTGCGGGGTCTTCGCATTTGGAATGAGTTATTGAGATTTTGGTGATCTTTCTTCTCCAGCGAGTTAAGCCCATAGTCTACTCGCCGCCAACCATATGGCTGTAGGGAAATCACTTAGCTGCTCTGTGCCTCTTTTCTCTTTTGGTAAGTGGGATAGAGATTGCTGCCACTTCGGAGAAGAGATGAGAAAGGGAGTTAGTCATTTTGAAAGTGAATAATGACTCTTTCTACATCTTCTCTCCTGGCTCAGAATTACCTGATGTAAAGGGTTTATAGTATGAGTCCTCTTGGCAAGCATTTATCCCTGTATTCATGTATTCATTCAAATAAGTATTTAGTGATCATCTACTATGTGCCAGGCACTAACCTAGATGCTGGGGATATATTGCTTCTACCTGTCATATTATGCCAAAAGCAGTGGGGAGCCCTGAAGAATATATAGTTTGAGATTCCTCGTGGCCAGTACTCCTTTCCAGCCAGAGAGAGAGAGAAATATCTAATAATCTCCCCATCTTTTGGGATATGAAAGTGCCTGTTTAGCTTAACTACATCTTCACACACAGTGGATATTAGGTAATAAAAGAATAGATTTTATTCTTTGCCTGTTTGCTAGGAAAATATGTATGAAAGTACAGAGCAAGGTTCTTTCCCTCATGAAGCTGACATTGTAACAGGGAAATAGTCAAGTAGTAATTTAATAATATGTGGTGAGTGTTCCAAGACAAGAGGGTGGTGTCTCACCTCCTCCCGGTGCTTATGGAAAGTGTCCTGGAAGGTATGACAGTTAAGCTTCCTTTTGAAGGGTGTGTAGGCATTAACCAGGTGAAGGGAGTGGGGAAGAGTGTTCCCAGCAGAGGGAACAGCAGGTACAGAGGCCTTGAGGCAGGAGAGGAACTGAAAGAAATCCCGGCTCTGAGGCTGCAGTTAATCTCTTCACCTTCTTGTAAATTGTAACACGTCTCTGTCCCCTGCCCTGTCCCCAGGGCCTCTGAGGTTACTGCCTGTGGTGTGTGACCTTGTGTTTTCCTACTGAATATGTCAGTCAAAAAGAATGAGTAATGATTTGAGCATCAATGCTAACCTGCTGTTGCTTCATTAAACTTTTTATTTTGAATTTTAGATTCACACAGAAGTTGCAACATTATTACAGAGAGTTCTTGCCTCCCCCAATGATAGCATTCTACACAACCAGAGTACAAGACCCAAAACAAGAAGTTGCCATTGGTACAACACTGTTAACTAAACTATAAGCTTTATTTGCATTTCACCAGTTTTTACATATACTCATGTTTTTGCTATGTAGTTCTCTGAAATGTTAAAACATGTGTTGTTTCATATAAACATCACCACACTCAGGATGAAGAACTGTCCGACAGAAACCCATCACCTTAAAGAAACTTTTTCAGGTACCTGTACAGTCACACCTTGCTCCCAGGCCTCCCTGATGTCTTTTCAGGCACCATTTCCAAGGTCACTTAACTGCCAATTTTTGGAAGGGACACGGAATGGTGGAATGGAAAATGTCTCGAAGCATTATCTTTATATCTGACACTAAACTGTATAAACTTGATGTTGAGCATGCCTGGGGCGTGTCAGTTATGCCTCAACCAATACTCTGGTTGGTAGAAGGTTTCTTTGGGGTAAAATTACAATGGTGCTGCAGCAATTTAGTGAGAAATTCCTGGTGTCAGCATTGGTGCTGTTGCTGTACCTGCAGGTCAACATTTCATCCTCCCAACAGCCTGGATAGATGCGTCTGTCATTCTTTACATTTTGCATAGAAGCTCAGGGGGTAATCCCCTGCCCTGGGGCACACAGCGCGGGAGAGAGTAGCCGAGATGGGCTCCCCTTTGGTCTATCTGACTCTAGATCCTTTGCCCTTCATCCCCGACTATGGGATGGAAAGAACCAAGCCATCTGGGTGTGGCCTCCAGCAAGTCACTTACCCTCCCTGGGACTGAAATCCGTCAGGAGGTCAGAACAAGGTCCTTTCCAACTCTGAAACTCTGTTATCTTTAGACTATCTAAGGTTTGCACAGACTTACACACCACTACACAACTCAAACAAAGACTGAAAACATTCAGCACAAACACTGTATATGAAGGCTTCTCCTGTCATTTTGAAGAGCCAGAATCCAGGGGTGTGTGTCAGGCCAGCATTGTCCACATTAGTTATCTGGACAGGAAGGCCTGTTCCTACAGCCTTTTGGGACAAGGACAGCTGAAAAGCATTTTATCGCCTCAATAATATTAGAGGGGTAGATATCATCTGTGCCTCCTAATGACTTCCTGTCTGAAATGGAAGATGCGGTAGAAGCAGACAAAACCAGGCAGGCCTCAGCAGTCTTCTAATTATTCCCATTACCTCATTAAGGCTTTTATTACAGTCGTGTATTAAGCAGTGACATGCTCAGCCCCAGAAAGGGTAAGTGACTTGCTGGAGTGACTGTGCTAAAATCAGTGCCTTACATCTGTTGTCTCTCTTGAAAGTCCTTCCAAAAACCCTATGCGATACATTATCATCTTCCTGTTAGGGATGGGGCAGCTGAGGCTTACAGAGGTAACCGCGTGACAAGAGCGAGAGTGAACCCATCCTGTCTGCTTTTAACCACCAGGCCATGGTACACCCTCTGCTGGTCACTTCCCAAACCTGCATGTTCTTTCCTCTCTTGCTAGTAAATACTACGAAAAGGAAGCACTCCTGATGGACCCTGTGGATGGCCCCATCCTTGCGTCTTTGTTGGGTGAGTGTGCAGCGCTCTGAGCTCCCTGTGACTCTGTAGTCTCCGCGCACAGGGCCCCTCCTAAGGGCCTCGCTCACCTCCCTCCAGCCTCCCCCATCAAACTCACTTGTTCCCTGTCTGTTGCTCCCAGGGTCTTGTGTCTCGCCTTAGCAGGACTCTGGGGTATCCTAGCTGACCAGAGGAGAGGGATAGTGCAATGGGTGGCCCACCTGGTGGTAGACGGGAGGGCAGGCTTTCAGGGGCCAAGGATTACCAGCCCCTCTGCTCTGCAGTGGGGCCCTGTGCCTTGGAATACACCAAGATGAAGACGGCGGATCACTTCTGGACCGACCCCTCTGCCGACGAGCTCGTCCAGAGGCACCGCATCCACAGCTCGCACCTGCGACAGGACTCGCCCACCAAGCGCCCCGCCCTCTGCGTGAGTGGGGTGGGCAGTGAGACCCTGTGGGGGAATCAGGCCGAGTTCCTGACTGGGCGTGGGGGCAGGGGGTGGAGTGGGGCCTTGACGGTCACTCCAGCCTCATCCTCTACCTCCGCGCACACCGCCAGATCCAGAAGAGGCTTTCGAGTGGCAGCATGGATGACCGCCCATCCCTCTCCGCCCGCGACTATGTGGAGTCCCTGCACCAGAACTCCAGGGCCACCCTGCTCTATGGCAAGAACAACGTTCTCGTTCAGCCGGTGAGAGCTCATCGTGGGCCCAGATCTTCCACTGGGGGTCTGGCTCCATGTTATAGAGAAGTTCCCTTTGGCTCTAGGTTGCTCATTCATTCATCCACCCACCTACTCACCCATCTATTCATTCATCTGCCAGTATTTTCTCTATCCATTCATTCATCCATATGCTGCCATTTCCTTCATTCATGCATCCACATGCCGGTATTTCCTTCTATCAAATCCATCCATGCATCCACCCATATGTCAATATCGCCAGCCAGCCTATCACTTCTCTTGCAGTGTCTATAGCCACCATCCTTCTGTTCCTGCACTTCCCACCATCCCTTCATCCATCTTCCTGTATTTATATCCACTCACCCATCCATCCATCCATTTGTCCATTTATTTTCTAGTCCATCTGTCCATCTACCTTTTCATCCAGCCATCTCTTCATTCATTCTCTCGTTGCCACTCATTCAGCACACCTTTATACAGAACCTGCTAAGTGTTAGATGCTTAGGATAGCAAGATAAACATCTTCATAGTTAATATTGATTAAGCACTTCCTATGTGTCGGGCACTGTGCTAAGTGCTTTTAATTCTACCAACTCATTTAAACTTCACAACAACCATTTGAGGCCAGTGTTGTTATCATAGCTGATTACACTGAGGCCCATGAGGGCAGAGTAAGGCACAGAGTTATTATTTGAATTCAGCATGGCTGGTGCCAGAAGTTGCCACTTACCAGTCACCCTCTGTGCCCTGCACTGGGCCAGGCCCCAGGAATAGCGATGAGCAGGCATATGGTGCCCCTTCCCTCATGGGAATTCTCCTTTGCTGTCCCCTTCCCGGGAACACTAGGGTCAGTATAGTGTTTGGGCTCAGCTGAGAGGAAGCAGAGGGACAGCTGTTGGCCACCCATCTCTGTGGTCACCGTTACAATCACTGGGTGACCCTGAGTAAGTCACTCCTCAGCATCCACATCATAGTGGGTACAGCACCCTATTTCCTGAGACCTAAGAAGCATCAATTTAAGATGCACCGTTTTTTATATAACTATCAGGAAATTGAAAGTGCTATTAAATTATATACTGTGTTTTCTCTCTACTTGAAACTCTTCTTTTATGTGTTTTGAAAGCTCTTTGAGATTTATTTGGATATAGTTTTTATAAATGCCAGGCCTCCTTCCAAGAACTTTTCTCCACATGTGCAGTAACCACCATGCACAACACTTAATTGAAATAACAATATGAACAGCTGTGACTGAGTGTACATGAGTCAGGCAATGATAACAGCATCCCAGTGGTGAGATGCTGCTGATCATAAGATGCATCCTCGTATTCAGGCACATTGAAATGTGAAAGACAGATGCGCATCTTAGAATGGATGAAAGACTGCAACTGTGCTCCCTTGGTGGGGCTGCAGGCTTGGGTGGTTCAGTTGAGACATGTGACCCTGAGTCATACTGGATACATACCAGGTGCTCAGGAAATATTAGTTGTTGGTCTACAAATGTTGTTGAGGTGAATTTGGTGGAGGAGCTGCCGCCTCTATGGGTGAGGCTTAGAGACACCCCTCTCCAGTCCCTTCCCCACTTGGGATACAGTATAGCAGGTGGGAAGCTCTGCAGGCAGATTGGGAAGCCAGAGGCTCAGGCTGCTGGGCGGGGAGGATGCCTAGGGTATTTGGGGAGGGGCTTCTGGGTAATGTCTGGGGGAGCAGACAGAGGTTAGCTGCAATTTTTTTCTCCCTTAAGACTGGCTAAAATGATGGTGGGTAAGTGTCTTCTGCTTTGAAAAAGGTGATGTTGAGAGGGACAGAGCTCCTCCTTGCTTCTAAAGAATTCCCAGGTCCACCCTTGCAGCAGGGCCCTGGACCTCAGAAGGGAGGTGAGGGTATGAAAGTGCGAGGGGCAGGCAGCTCTCACAGCTGGGTCTACTAGTATAACACCCATCCTGGGTGGTTGGCTGCAATAGCCTTGGCCACGTAGAAGGAGGTTCAGGGTCTTCCAAATAGCCATGACCTTGGAGGGAATGCCCCAACCTCTTGGTTCCGGTTATGTGTCCTTGAGTCCAATGGACCATGTTAACTGTTCACTCTGGCACTACAACCAAGTCTGAGTCCTTCTCTCTCTACAGAGGGATGACATGGAGGCTGTCCCAGGGTACCTGTCCCTGCACCAGACTGCTGACCTCATGACCCTGAAGTGGACACCCAACCAGCTGATGAATGGGTCTGTGGGAGATCTGGACTATGAGAAGAGGTAGGGTGCCAGGTCCCTCCCCTCCCCTTGGCACAAGGAAGTTTGTGCCCTGTCCCTTGTGCCCTGCCCCTACCTGCTGCTCCATCTGGTTGTTACAGCCGCTTGGCCCAGCCTCCCTACGGCAGTGGCCTCATGGGTAACTCAAGAACTTGGGAGGATCCAGTAACCGACTGGAAGAATCTTAGGGTGTGGGAACTAGTCAGAGCCGTGGCCAAAACACCCACCCAGAAATATCTTTTTTTTTTAAATATATTTCTTTATTGATTCAGAGAGGAAGGGTGAAGGAGAGAGAGATAGAAACATCAATGATGAGAGAGAATCATTGATTGGCTGCCTCCTGCACACTCCCTACTGGGGATTGAGCCCGCAACCCAGGCATGTGCCCTTGGCCGGAATTGAACCTGGGACCCCTCAGTCTGCAGGCTGACGCTCTATCCACTGCACCAAGCCGGCTCAGAAATATCTTAACAAAGATTTCATAAGTTTGGCCAAATCAATGGAGAGTTCCCAGGCTAAAGTCTACCATTGGAGGAGTCCCCTGTCCCACAGGAATAGGCCCACACTGGCCCCACTTGTGCTCAGTCCTGGCAGAGAGGGAGTGTGGCCTTGGCATAGCACAGCGGTGCATCCAGGGGGGTGGCCTCTCATGCCATTGGTCAGCTGCTCCCCACAGCAAGGTCTTGGGTCTCGTGAAGGAGACCTGAGCAGTGCATTCCTGTGGCCCCACCTCCCATTGTGTTCTGAGGGGAAAAGCTGAAAAAGGCAAACCTGAAGGAAATCACAGGGCCCATTAACCCAGTACTTTTTAGAATGTATCAGTGCCGTGTTGAGCCCTTCAAATAGGCAATTCCATTTAATCCTCATAGCAATACTATGCAGTGGGCATTAGCATCCTCAGTTTCAGAGGAGGAACCTGTGGCTCATAGAAGCCTCTAAGTCACACTGCTGGGACCTGTGAAGTCAAGGCTGTTGAATGGCTATTCTGACTCCTGCCCGTGGACATAGGGTGGCCTGAAGTTAGGATCAGCATTAGTCAAGACTCAGATACCAGTGACGGAAAACCGAACTCAAGCTGACTTAAGCATTTGCACACATGAACTAGAAAACCCCGGGGCAGTGGCTTCAGGCATGGCTAGATCCAGGGACTCAAATGAGGAAGACCTGAACACTTTCCATCTCTTGGCTCTGCTTCCCTGACTGTTGACTCCATTTTTTCTTGCCATAGCCTCACATCTCCAGACTTCTAGCATCCTTACCACTACTTTCCTAGCATAAAGGAGCATCTGTTCCCCAGTAATTCTAATATAAATTTGATAATTGAATCTCATTGGTTCTGCTTATGTCACGGGGTCATCCCTGAACCAATCACTGTGGCCAAAACAGTAGAATAAGTTGATTGGCCAGGCCTCAGTCAGGTGGCCATTCTGGAGTTCTGGGGTGGAGGGTGGGTGAGGTCAGCCTCAGCCACATGGAGTGGAGGCAGGGGAGGAGGGGGTCCTTAGAAATTTGGGACCAAGGAAGAGGAGATAGTCTGGGAAGACTGTGATGCAGATGTTAGGGTCAGGTGGGCCCTGGTGAGAAGAGTGGAGGAACCCATGGGTGTGGTCTTCTGGCCTCCTGGGCCCTCCTCCACGGTGATGTAGACAGACATCCTGCAGCTCTGACCTTCCCTCACCTTCCAGCGTCTATTGGGACTATGCCATGACCATACGCCTGGAGGAGATCGTCTACCTGCACTGCCACCAACAAGGTAGGGACTGCCCGCCCACCCCCCTGTTGCCTATGCAACCTCAGGCAACTGACTTCACCTCTCAGAGCCTCAGTTTCCCCTCAGTGGGGATCATACCAGGACCTACTCATGGGGTTATTGTGAGGATCAAGTGGCATATGTTAAGGTCTCAGCATCAAACCCATGGTGTTAGTTGCTAATACTGAGCAATTATGGTGTGCCAAGCATGGCTCTGAGCATTTACATGCCTGTTACTTAATCATCACAACAACCTAGGGATAGGGGCTCCGTCACTGCCAGTTCACAGGTGAGGAAGCAGCATGGCACAAAGACATGCAGCTTATAAGCTCCAGAGCCTGGACTTGAACCCAGGTCTTTGTCACTCCAAAGTCAGTGCTCAGCCGACCTGGGATTAATAACTAGCATTCCCCTTTAAAGCCCAAGGCAGGCATATTCATAATAAGCAGAGAGTCATCCTGCTTTGGAAAGCAAGGGACCTGTGGCCAACCAAGGTGTAAAACATATAAGCTTATTTAATGAGGTAGAACTGGGTTCCAATCCACACCCTGCCATTTACTAGCTGTGTGACCCTTGGCAAGTTATATAACCTCTCTGAGCCTCGGTTTTATCATTTGTAAACTAGGCAATAATAGATATTTTGAGTACTACAATAAGATGGTACCTTTAACGTGATGTGCTTATATACAGTAAGTGCTCAATCCATGCTACTGACAGTTAATACTGCGCTGAAAAAGCCTCCATACAAAAATAGATCAAGTAGATTTGTAAAGGGTGCTTGAGGGACATGGGTGTTGGGAGGCAGCCTTTCCCTTTGGTGGGGGCTGTAGGACATGTTCTTCTTGACCATGTCCTACAGTTCCCATCAACAATGATCATAGGTGGGATGAGAGGGACTTGGGGGAGGTGAGACTCCCCCTGACCTTCTGTCCAGACCTGTCCCAGAGCCTCAAAACAGGTTCATGTGTCTGGGCCTGGGGGTATGTGTTGGGCGGAAGGGCCCATCACCATGCCTCTTAGTGACTTCCTGCTGGGTCTTCTGTGGTCGGTCACATGGCAGTGGACAGCGGCGGGACGGTGGTGCTGGTCAGCCAGGACGGGATCCAGAGGCCACCCTTCCACTTCCCCAAGGGAGGGCACCTCCTGCAGTTCCTCTCATGCCTGGAGAACGGGCTGCTCCCCCACGGGCAGCTGGACCCACCACTCTGGTCTCAGCGGGGGAAGGTGAGTGATCATGGCTGGGGGTGGGGTCAGCCAGGGTGAATGGTCATTCTTGCCCAGGAGCCCTTAGGTGGCTTTTCGGGCTCATGCACACTCCGTCACGACCCTCATGACGTGCAGTTGGGGGACAGGTGTGTCCCAGGGACTGTGCATTGGGACATGTTCTTTCAGGGCAAAGTATTTCCCAAACTGCGCAAGCGAAGCCCTCAGGGTTCTGCCGAGTCCACAGCTTCAGACAAGGAAGATGACGAGGCCACGGATTACGTGTTCAGGATCATCTACCCCAGCCTGCAGTCCGAGTTCGGTAAGTTGTCCTGTTCCTGAGCCCAGGGAGCCAGCCATTAGCTGATCCTAAAAATGAACTAGGCATTTGGAAATAGAGGACAAGAGGTCTGGATTCTGGGGCTAACAGGGGACCTGGAATCAGGAAGTTTATACCTTGGTGGCCTTGATTTGCCCCCGTATGAGAACAAATAACCACTCTTCTTAGGTAATAAAGATGCCACTGACTGGGAGGTGGCATGGGATAGTGGCAGTGACATGGACTCTGGAAATCACGTTGAACTTGGGCAAGTCGCTTTAATCTCCTATGCCTCCGTTTCATCATCTGTAAAATGGGGTGTCTACAGCACATATTTCATAGGGCTTTTGGAGGATTAAATTAGATAAGTCACTTGACATAGAACACTCAAATGTTAGCTGCTATTGTGTTATTATACTTCAACATATTGTTGTAAGGATTTAATGAGATAATGAGGTGATCAGTGTAAAGCCCTTAGAATAAGGTCTTGCACATAGTAGGCACTCAATAAATGGTAGTCAAAGCAGCAAAGGGAAGCAAAGTGCTTGGCACTAGCACAGGAGGTGATCTGCCTGCTGATTGCCATGAGACAGATGCTTAGTGAATGGAGATTGTTGCTATTAAGATGATCATTCTTACGGACTGTTGTTAGGATTAAGTGAATTACTATTTGAAAAGTTCTTGAAAGGAGGCCTGGCATTTATTAAGCACTGTATGGACATCTGTTAAACAAATCAGTATTAAGTTATACGCATCCTTTCTGTTATTTAACCCTCTGTGGCCCCATTGATCCAATCAGATGGGTAATGGCTTGAAGCCTCCCTTTGCTTACGTGACCTCGGCTGCGCAGTGAGAGGCTCTTTTGAAAGCAGATGTCCTTCCCAGCAAGGTTGAACTAACCATGCCCGGCCACTTAGTGCTCCATCTCTCATCCATCGCTGAGTTGGATTGGCAGTAAGATCCTACAGGGCTTGGGTTAGTGTGTTTTCATCCATATATTCCTTCATGAAGAGCCACAGAGTGTCCTGAAGTGTTCCTTAGCATGTGCACTCCTGCCCAGGCTGTCTGTGCACACAGCCCCACCGGAGAGCTGGTTCATTAGCCAAGACCAGATGCCCTGTGGCCACCTTCCCAGAAAACTCTCTCCTCGGGGGCTCATCCTCCAACAGGCTCTTGCCGGAGCCAGGCTGGATTCCCTTATTTGGGGAATATCATTGTTAGCTTCTTGTGGCTGCATGTGCCACCAGGACAGACGCTAGGATTCAAGACACTAGGATATAACAATTCGTTGTGATAGGGGCTGTCCTGTACACTGAAAGATGTTGAGCAGCATCTCTGGCCTCCACCTACCAGATGCCAAGTGGCCAATCCATCCCCTGCCCACCAAGTGTGGCAACCAGAAATGTCTCCAGTCATTGCCAAGAAACTGGAGGAAAGTTGTCTCAGGCTGAGAACTGCTGGTTCAGAGAAAAGCTCACATCAGTGCATTCAACTCGGCCACTGTGTGTGGGGCCGTCGGGGTTGGGGTGCAGGGTGAAGGTTCAAGTCCCGAAGACTTGGTTCTTCTGGTCGGTTCAGTGTTCTGCCCACCTCAGACTTTCCATTTCACTGGTGCTTTTTGTTTTGTGTCTCAAGTTGTTCCCGACCCCTTGGGCAGCACATCCTCGGTCTCCGTGGGCCCTGCCTGGATGGTGGTTCCTGTGGGCCGGTCCATGCTGGTGGTGGCCAGGGCCAGTCGGTGGGCCCAAACCAGATGGGACGCCACCCTTCCCATACCAGGCTTGAAGCAGCAGCCCCCCAGTAATGTCTGGGTCCCCCCAATCCGTTGGGACTGGGTGCCAGCCACCTCTGCCATGTTGTCATTTGAGTCTTGGTCCTAGTGGAGATGGAGGTGAAAGACAAATAAGTACCTTTATGCTGTCCAGTTGGTACCCTGCGTGATGCAGCTTGGAGTGCTGTGGGTTCAGTAGTGAAGGGATCCATTGGTGATGTCTACAGGGTGGGAGGGACTCGGGGCAGAGGCATGCCTGCCACACCTGGGCACAACTGATCAATGCTTCCCTGAGATTGGCTAAGAACTGGGGCTGTTTTTCTAGAACATTTTACAGGGGCTTGCTGGTCATTTTTGGCCAGCTCATTGGTGAGTCTGCTTGGGAAGGGTTAGTGTAACAAGCCAGTTTTGGTGGCCCCCAAAGCCTCATTCTGGAGGCAGCTTTGTCCTACGTCATTGGGTAGGAGCTGACCCTGTCAGCCACTGAGCTCTGATGACCAGTGGGGCTGAGTCCACAACTACCCTCCCCTTGGAGCCCGAGAGAAGATGCCACATTACCACTCATCCTTGAGGACGCCTGGCACAAGGGTAAATATGCATCCCTCTTAATTTCCTGGAGCAGGGCTTGGCAAACATGGCCTGCAGGCCAAACCCAGCTTCATTCTGTACAGCCCATGAGCTGAGAATGGTCTTTACATTTTTTGAATAACTGAAAAAAATCAAAAGCAGAATAATATTTTGTGACAGGTGATTATGATATAAAAGTCACATTTCAGTGCCCATAAAGTTTTATTAGAACATACCCATGCTTGTTTGTTTGCATTTTATGTATGGCTCCTTTTGCACTACAACAGCAGAGTTGAGTGGTACAATAGCAACCAAGTGGCTCACAAATCCAAAACTATTTTCTACCCGGATCTTTACAGAAAATATTTTTTGAGCCCCATCCTAGAGAAAATAATTTTTGCACCTGTCTCGAACTGCCAGAAGGCCAAGAAGTTAACTGTAGAAATTGTGATGTATATGTCACCAGTATGTTTGTCCTGCAGCGGCACAGATCCTGTGGTGTTCTTGGAGCTGGGAAAGAAAACAGTGAGCGAAACTTAAGGGCCATATTCCTGGGAGCAGTTGATCAGGAATCACCAATGTCCCGGAGTTAGGAGATCAGTCGTGCTTTCTTGGTTTTCAAACGTGGCTGCTATATCAGAATTGTTTTTGAAATGTAGACTCAAGGGATGTATGACCAGGAGGTTTTAATTGGCTACGTCAGGGGTGGGATACAGGCTTATGGCTTTTTAATAAGCCCCCGCCCCCATGTGATTCTGGGGGTGGCCAGCCTACTTGAGACCCGTTGAAGCAGCTGGATCAGGACCACGGACAGCGCAGGTACCCTCTTCCTCGTCAGTGGGAGGCTCCACTGGGTTCTCACCCATGTGTGCCCTGCCTCATCAGATGAGTCAGGGTCCCTCTGTCTCACTACTAGAGACTCTCTCACCAGAGAGTCTGTCTCTGAGGACTGGAGACCATCTGCCTTCCCTAGAAGCCCCCAGCAGGTCCCTGTCCTTTCATGTCAGCCTCCTGTGAGGACAGCTGAATGACAACATGGTGTGAGGCGTGGCCTCCTACTCTGGGATTGGGCCTGTTTTCTTGGCTCTGGTCTCTCTCTGGTTTCTCTTCCACTCTCTACTGTCATCAGCTCTGCCCATTTGCTGGGGGCCCCAAATTTTGGTGGTGGCTTTCACTGGATCAGGCGGGTTCAGGAACTTGGGTCAGACAACGATTGTGGTCGCTGTTTCCTACTGTGACATTAAAGGGCTTTTCCTATCCCTGTGCTGGCCTAGGAGTGAGCTGCTTGTTTTGGGGTGAGGCTTCTGTAACCCACATATGCTCAATCAGGGCTCTTCTTCTGCCCTTTCTACTCCCCACAGTGCCCCAGGACCTGATGGATGTCTCCATGAGCAACCTGCCATCCCTATGGCAACCCAGTACCCACAAATCCTCTTGCTCATCCTGTTCACAGAGTGGCTCAGGCGATGGTGGCTCAACCAATGGCTGCAAACATGAGAGGTATGAGGGGCTTGAGCTGTGGATGGAGGGAATTGGAAGGATTTACCAAAGATTTGGAGATACCTCTTACTTGCCTTGCACTGACTTCTGAGGCTCCGGAATCATCCAAATCCAGGTTAAATCCTAGCCTTGTGAAGTCCTAGCTGTTGGAGCTTCCTTACATGGAAAAAGAACATATGTCGCAGTAACAAACCGCCCTAAAATCTCAGTGGCTATTACAACAAAGGTTTATTTGTCTTGCATGCTATGTGTCTATTATGGATCAGTTGGAGACTCTGCTTTCTGCACATCAAAGGCCCCGCTGATGGAGCCACCACCATCTTGAATATTGCCAATCACAGCGACTGAGGGAAATGGCATGGAGGGACTCGAAGCAGCATTTAAATGCCCCAGGTCAAATGAGGCACCTGTCATTTCCACTCACACCTCATTGGCCCTGTCTACAAGGAGCCAGGAAGTGAAGTCCCCCCATGCACTTCCAGGCAGAAACCAGAAATACTACTTAATGACAACCACACATGCCTAAATGGGACACTAATGCTTGCTTTATATAGCTATTGTAAGGCCATATCAAATAATGGTTGGAAGTGGCCAACATGTGGTACATGGTAATGCTCAATAAATTACATGCTATTTTATTGTATAAAGTTAAATCCCAAGATCAACTCTTTCTTTGCACATAGAGCTTTGGTCTCTTTGGAAGAATGACGTAGCCCATTCATGAGAATGGTCTTGTTTCCTACTGACCTGGCCTGGCCTACAGGAGTGGAATCCTCTTTTTCCTTCTGGGCCTCTGTCCCAATGGGTGGTCAGTTCATCAGCTGTAGGAACATCAAGGGCAGGGGGCTGGATTCAGATTTTTTAAGTCTTCTAAGCCCTGGGGACCAGAAACCTTATCATCTGAGCAGATTCTCAGTCTCTCATCCCAGACCTGCTGAAGCAGAATCTGCATTTAACAAGATCCCAAGACCATGTGTACCTTTAAGTTTGAGAAGCATTGATATAACCGAGAGACTAACATGTTAATATGCGTCAGAATCACCTGGGGGAGGTAGCAAAACCTCCTGGTGCCTTGACTACTTCTTGGCTGTCCTGACTGAGTAGGTCTGTGTGGGGCCCAGGAATCCACGTGGTGGAGAAATTCCAAGTGATAAGGGGCTTGTGGTCCATGGACCACTGAAAAGTGCTGTTCTAACTTAGTACCCCCTTTCACTGTATCTGTTTACACACTTCTAGTGACAGGGAGCTCACCACCTTGCAGGTAGCTGAGGGCACTATGGGACACCTGTCAGTGAGATGCTATTCTCATGTAATCTGAGCAAGCCCGAGTCTTGCCAACCTGAGGGCACAAAGAGGGTGACTTTAAAGTTTAATGCCTCCAGGTATACATACCTGGAGGACTTCGGCCATGCTTTCTACTCAGTGTTCCTGGGTTTTCCTGGGTGTCCTCTGGGATCATTTTCCTCTACTCTGTGTTTTGCAAGAAGGTACAACACTCTCTTCAGCAGCCCTTATTTTCTACAACAATGCTGGGGCCTTATTCCTCTCTCCTCTTTCAGCCAAAAAAGCCCCCCAGAATTCCCATGCAAGGAGAATTTATGCGGCATCACCTACTTTGCAATCAGCTAGACTCTGAGTCCCAGTTTGGCTCAGTTTGGTTCAGGTGGGTCACTTCAGAAGTCAGAACTCTTTCTGAAGGTGTCAGAAACCCACTTCAAACTGGTGCAAGTAAGAAGGAAAATCTGTTGACAGAATTGAAAAGTCCACAGGTGCAGTGGCTTCAGGTATGGCTGGATCCAGCTGCTCAAAACAGGAATCTCTGTTTTTTTCTTTGGCTCTTGCTTCTGTTTGCCACTATGATGGTTTCATGCTTAGGCAGGCCCTTCTATGCAGTAGCATAAATGGATCCCAGATGCCTCTGCCCCATATCCCATTGGCTTTGGAACTTAATCAGGGAAAAGAGTGTCTGTTTCCCAGTGATCTCAACAAAAGTCCCGGGGCTGATTCTCATTGGCCCAGGTTGGATCACATCACCACCTCTGGCCCAATCACTGTGATCCCAACGTGAGTCATGCACTGGGAAGAATCAGCTCTACCCAAGCCATAGGGACAGAGTTATGGAGTGACTCCCAAGCAGATAGCAGAAGGGGCAGTGATGCTGTATGAGCAGAAATAATATCCCCACAGCCCCCTTGACCGGCTGGCTTTAATCTGCTCCTAGAGATAACGAGTTGTCTCCTCTCCAGGAAATCTGGGCTGTGGGTGGGTCTGTCCTAAGTGTCTCCCTTTTCCTCCACCGGCAGGGCTCCCCTGAAGCTTCTCTGTGACAACATGAAGTACCAGATCCTTTCCAGAGCCTTCTATGGATGTGCGTATTGACCTTATTTGCCGTCGTGATCTCCAGGGAACATTCATTGAGTGCCTGCTACGTGCCTGGCTCTGGAGTTTGAACCCATGCTCCTCTGTTTCCTAGATTCCTGGTTTTAGTGAAATGATATTAACTTCTCTGAGCCTCAGTTTCCTCATCTATAAATTGGAGATAAATATACTTTGATCCTAAGAGAGGGCAGTGAACAATGGGGTTCCTTGGGGGGAGGGGTTTGGTTTAATCGCCATTGCATTCCCAGTGCCCACCTTAGAGTGTTTGTTTTCAAGACTGAATGAGAAGCATGTATAAAGCCCCTGCAGCTAGTGTTGCACATCATAGGTGCTCATAACTGTCTGTTCCCTTTCCCTGTGGGCAGAAGCAGAAGAGAAAGGTGGCCTGATCCCTTCCCAAGAACTTAAAAATGAAATGCATAATATAAGTACTCTGATTATTTCATTTTAACCGATGAGGAAACTAAGGTACAGAAAGGGGGAAATGACTTTCCCAAGGTCACACAGCTAATAAGCAACAGACTCAAACCCAGGCCTGCCTGACGCAAAGGCTCTGTTTTTGTCCCCACTCTGCTATATCAGTTCTTAGCAGGATTTAGTTCCCCAGCCTCTCAGCCTAGTGTGTGTATTTCAGGATTCTAGAAAAGTGTTAACACATGCTGCATGGGCCTGTGAAATAGCAGTGCAGGTCCTGTCCCTGAGTGCCTGAAGAGGCAGGGAGAGTGTGAGCTCTCCAAGATCAAGGCTTTTGCCTGTTCTGGACTGACCCATCCCCAGTGCCTAATGCAGGGCCTGGCATGGAGCAGGCATTGGGTGAGTATTTATGGAACCCAAACGGAAGAGCTTCCTGGAGGAAGGGGAGAGGGTTTAAAGGGATCTTGAATGATGTCATCACATGATGCGGCTCATCCATGATGGCAGCTGAGAGCCCAGGTTCTGGAACTAGGCAGTTTGGGTTCAAATCCCAACTCCACGCTTCCTAGCTATGTAACCTGAGCAGGTGATGAAACCAGTCTGTGCTTCAGTTTCTCCATCTATAAGATGGGGATAAGAGTACCCGCTGTGGCGAGAATTAAATGAGTGAAGTTAGGTAGGCTCAGGTGGCAGCTCCCTGGCACTTATGTAGTATGTGCTGTGTAAGTGTTAGCGTTAGCCATCACCATCATCATCATCATCACTGTTGGTAGGGGTGAGTCCTCAGGCTCAGGAAGGTCCAGGGTCCTCTCTGGGAGTTAAGGATGAGATGGTGGGGGAGATCCAGAAGAAAGGTATGCAGTCAAAACCAGCACAAGCCAGTATTTGCTGAGTGCCTCGTGTTCCAGGCACCGTGCCCTCCAGGTGCCCAGGATGGGTTGGGTGAAGGTTGGCAGACATTCTGTTTAGAGTGCAGGGCCATCTTTGAAAGCAAACCAGTGCCCTCAGCATCCTCTTGGATATGACTCGCCGGGACCTTGTCTATCCAGCTCCATGTTTTCTCCCACTCTCTTTTTCTCTCTGTGTGGATTGGAGGCACCCAGAGGCACAGGGAGCCCACCCCTACTCTGCTTCCAGCCTGTGAGTTAAATACCTTGGATTCTAGCAGAGGTGGTATCACCCTGACCAAGGTTGAGAAAGGTGATAGGACCTCCCCACGGTCACAGAGCAGTTAAGCAGTCAAGCCCACAAGTGGCTTCCCCCTCTGAGCCTAAGCTCCTTACCTGGAAAAGGGGGTGATGAGAACTCGTTGGGTCATGAGGGTTCAGGAAGGTTATGGGCAGCATTTTGGAGACTCTGAGACAAGGCAAGGAGGGTCTGATGGTGGATAATGACCCTTTCTCTATCTCCCCCCACAGGGCTTGCCTACTGCAGACACCTGTCCACCGTGAGGACCCACCTGTCAGCCCTGGTCAATCACATGATTGTGTCTCCAGACTTGCCCTGCGATGCTGGACACGGGCTGACGGCCGGGATCTGGGAGCAGTACCTTCAGGACAGCACAGTAAGGCTTGGCCTGGCTCGGCCTGTGGTGGGACTGCAGCAGGTGGGGGCATCTTGCAATCTAAGGAATAGACCTATCTGCTTGTGGGGACTCAAGGATGTTGTGATGTCTTTGGGTTCTGCATACCCAAACTCAAGAGTTCCAAGACCCATAGCCTGCTTCTGCCCATTGGGGTGAGGATCAAGGAGGATGGAAAATACACATGCTCTCCTGGAAGGAGTAAGAATCCATCAGTGGCTAAGCATTTATTAAGCACCAGCTGTATGCTCAGTCCTGCATGAGGTGCTATGAGTCCCCGGTGAGCAGGAATTCATAATGCAGTCGAATCTACTTAGAATGATGAGAGGAGCTAAGTTAGAGGGAGACAGCTGTTAAAGTCATCCTAGTGTGCCCCTAAATCATTAGTGTATACAGAACCAGCTACTCATGTTCACTGCAGATTAATTTGCTTTAAAACAATTTTCTTAGAGCTTAGTTGAGATGAAAAACTCCAAGATAATATTCCCAAATAAGCACAGTATACAAAATTGATTGAAAATTAAGTAGAAATATAAGTTCCTTATACCCTGGTTTTTCCTTTTCTCTTTTAAATATATTTTATTGAATCTTCACAGAGAGGAAGGGAGAGGGATAGAGAGTTAGAAACATCGATGAGAGAGAAACATCGATCAGCTGCCTCTTGCACACCTCCTACTGGGGATGTGCCCGCAACCAAGGTACATGCCCCTGACCGGAATCGAACCTGGGACCTTTCAGTCCGCAGGCCGACGCTCTATCCACTGAGCCAAACCAGTTAGGGCTTTTCCTTTTTTCTTGAACAAAAATGAGTTCATACTAGACCCGATCTGCATCTTATTTTTTTCCACTAACAGTACACATTGAGCATCATTTTGTGTAGGTTCTCATAGATGCACCTTTCTACTTTAACAAAAATGAGTTCACACTAGACACGATCTGCATCTTTTTTTTTTTTCCACTAACACTACACATTGAACATCATTTTGTGTAGGTTCTCATAGATGCACCTTTCTACTCTCTGTGTGGTATTCCCATGTCGGGGGTTACTGTTCTCCCGTTGGTGGGAAGTTGAGGGGTTCCCAGGGCTTTGCTCTTTCATGTCACATTGTAGTGGATATTGGGTGCCTATGGCTTTGCTCATTCATGCCAGGGTTCCTAAGGGCTAGGTCTGAAAAGAAGAACTGCTGGATCACAGAGTCTGCCCTGGCTTTCTGTTGACCAAACAAACCCTTTGCTCTCCCCTGTCCCCCCACCACAGAGTTACGAGGAGCAGGAGCTGCTGCGCCTTATCTACTATGGGGGCATCCAGCCCGAGATCCGCAAGGCCGTGTGGCCCTTCCTGCTGGGCCACTACCAGTTCGGGATGACAGAAACGGAAAGGAAGGAGGTTGGTTACCCTGAAGGGCACTGGGTCTTTGGCAACCAAAGGAGCCAGGTACTGTGAGGCTGGGGGAGCTCTGGTCCCATTTTGGACCAAGGTGGGGCAGGGAGCTGGGGGGAGCCAGGAAGCTCAAGGGCAGCGCTCTCCAACAGAAATACAGCACAAGCCATGGATGTCATTTTTTAAAAATAAACTTTTATTTTGAGATAATTGTGGATTCACACCCTTCTTTATTACCTTCCACCTCGCCTTCCTGGCACATAGTAGGTGCTCAGTTAATGTGGGTTGAATGTTATGCCATGAATGTTAGATGGGTGCTTCCAGGGCTCAGGGTCCCAGCACTTCCGGTGACCTTGCATCTGCCCTGCAGGTGGACGAGCAGATTCATGCCTGCTATGCACAGACCATGTCCGAATGGCTGGGCTGTGAGGCAATTGTGCGGCAGAGGGAGCGGGAGTCCCACGCAGCCGCCCTGGCCAAATGCTCATCAGGGGCCAGCCTGGATGGTCCCCTGCACCGGATGATGCACAGGGACTCCACCATCAGCAACGAGGTGATGGGCGGCTCACCTGAGGGAGTGGAGGGTGGGGTGTGAAAGCCAGGATCCTCTCCATCAGGCTGTGGTAGGAATGGTGAGGGCTGGGTGCCTGGGGACAGAGCCTCACCCCTAGTTTTTGGGTGGAAGGAGACTTTGTAGTTTGACAGACCTAAGTTTGAACTCTAACCCATTTTCTAGCCCTGGTGCTTCAGGCAAGCACCCATACTTCTGGGCCTCAGTTTCCTCATCTGTCAAAGGGAAATAATCATTTATAGGGGAGGTTTGTGCGCAGCTTAAATGAGTAGTGTACATAAAGCACCTACCACAGTGCTAGACTTCCATTTATTCAACAGATGCTTATTGAGTGCCTACCATGTGCCAGGTACTGTCAGGAATGTTCTGAGATATCAGGAATACTTCAGTGGCCAAGTCAGACATATCTGTTCTCACAGAGTCTCCAGTTTAGTGGCCCAAAGCAGGAACTGAAAAAAAAGTTAATTCTCTTCACTAGTGATGTATCACCTATCATTTTGCTACACTAATACTGCGTAACAAGCAATCCTCAAAAGTCAATGGGTTTCTAACAACACACATTTCCTTTTTCTCGTGAGTTTGTGGGTCAGCAAGGCAGTTCTGAACTCTGAAGGTCAACTAAAAGTTTTGTTGACCTTCACAGAGCGCTCTCACCTGCCCGGACTGACTCAGTTGTGCTCCACGTCTTACCCTTCAGCTGGTTACCTTTTCTCACAGTAAACGCAGATTATAAAGAGAGACATACACAAGCTCTTTTTCAGGCTCTGCCCTGGTGACTTTGCTAACATCCCATTGGCCAAAGCAGGTCACATAGCCAAGCCTAGCATCAGAGTAGGCAGGAAGTAGAAGTTACAGGGCAAAAAGCACAAATACAGAGAGGGAGTAAAAAAATCAGGCCATTCATACAAGTTACTCTGTGTCTAACTAAAATGTTAGCCAGAAGTCTCAAGTAGAGAGCAGTGAAAGATGGGGTTTCCTGCTTGCAGGGGTGGGAGGTGGAGGCCCAGGGGCTGGTGGAATGGCCTCTGAAGAGGCTCCAGGGCGCAGACAGTGAAACCCCCACCCCTTTCATTTCATAGATAGGAACCTGAGGCCTTGAGAGGGGGCCTCCTGAAGTCAGGAATAGAAATGACACTAGACTTCTGACTCCCGCCCCAGCAACCCCTCCTGAGCTCAGTGCAGGGGCTCTGAGCCGGGAGGCTGCAGCCTCACCCAGGCTCCCTCCTGCCTCTTTTCTCTCAGTCCTCCCAGAGCTGCAGTTCTGGCCACCAGAACATCCGCCTGCAGAGCGACTCCAGCAGCAGCACACAGGTGACCTTCCCAAGGCCACGCCCCCTACCTGCCCATCACCCTCCCTCCAACCTGGAGCAATAATGGGCTTGGGTGCCCGTCATCTCCCAGTCACTTATGATTTATTTGTTTTAGCCGTTATACTAGCATTAAAGATTGGGTTTTTAATTACGTACGTAACCATGAATCCGTTTTCCCTGTAAAGAAGTTAAAATATTGCAGAGAAAGCTAAATTGGGCTTTGACTTCCATCATACAAACTTATGTGCACATAATTTACGTAAAATATTAGTTAACAACATAAGGAACAGGTTAAACAAAGCCTATTATATCCATGTAAATTCCTTAGTCATCCCTCCACAGAGTCAACTGCAATGCTTCCTTGCTTCTTTCTGGATTATTCTATGCATTTTCATACAGATAGATTACTCTTTTATTCTTCACAAGTGGGAGCATGTATCGCACCTTGTGCTGCCTCACTCCTTTTACTGACTGGGCAGTATTCCATCACATGCATGTTCCATATTTGAACCAGTCCCTGTGATGAGTATTTAGGTTACTGCTGGAAGCAGTCCATCTGTCTTTGTGCACCTTGTCTTCAGGTGTTCGAGTCTGTGGACGAAGTGGAGCAGGTGGAGACAGAGGGCAGGTTGGAGGAGAAACAGCCCAAGATCCCCAATGGGAACCTGGTGAATGGCACCTGTTCCCCGGACTCCGGCCATCCTTCCTCCCACAACTTCTCCTCTGGCCTCTCGGAGCACTCGGAGCCCAGCCTGAGCACCGAGGACAGTGTCATGGACGCCCAGCGCAGTGCCTCCCTGGTGCTGCGACCTGGGGACAGCAGCGTGGACGAAGGGCAGAGTAGCGAGGCCACCACTTCCCGGGACGAGGCTCCCCGTGAGCAACTGGCCGTGCAGGACAGCCTGGAGAGTGACCTCCTCGCCAATGAGAGCATGGACGAGTTCATGTCCATCGCAGGCAGCATGGACGTGGCTCTGCCTGAAAAGGAGGGCCCCCCGATGGAGGGCTGGGGGGGCAGCGAGGCGAAGTGCAGCCGGGCGGACAGTGAGGACAACCTCTCAGAGGAGCCCGAGATGGAGAGTCTCTTCCCGGCCTTGGCTTCTCTGGCCGTGAGCACAGCTGCCAACAACGAGGCGTCCCCCGTGTCATCCAGCGGTGTCACCTACTCCGTAAGTGTCTAGAATTCTCCACTCAGTTTCCTACAGCTGCAGTAGGGAGGGAGTGCACCCCAAACCTCAGTTTCCAGACAACCCTGGTTCATTGCATTTTCCTCATCACAGAGAGTTCACTGTGGAAACCGATCTGGGGGGAATGATGATAAAATACTTAAAGAACACAGCCTTAGCAGTCAAACAGTCCTGGGTTTAGAGTGACCAGTTAGACAGGTCCCTTCATCTTTCTGAACCTCAGTTTCCCTATCTGCCTTCCTGGGTGGTTTTCAAAATCACTGAGTCAGGTCCTCTGTGCCTACCACATCGTGAGCACTCGATCAATCGATAGCAGCCCTGATGATGAGCATCTTGACTTACACGCAGGTCCAGTATCTTCTAAATCTTTGAGTTTGGCTCTTTGGAGTCCTGCCTCAATGTGAAAAGTCTCACTAGACTTCTTACCTTGAGGGAGGGTCCCCCGTGTCATCCAGCGGTGTCACCTACTCCGTAAGTGTCTAGAATTCTCCGCTCAGTTTCCTACAGCTGCAGTAGGGAGGGAGTGCACCCCAAACCTCAGTTTCCAGACAATCCTGGTTCATTGCATTTTCCCCATCAGAGAGATCACGGTGGAAACCCATTTGGGGGAAATGATGATAAAATACTTAAAGAACCCAGCCTTAGCAGTCAAACAGCCCTGAGTTTAAAGTGACCAGTTAGACAGGTCCCTTCGTCTTTCTGAGCCTCAGTTTCCCTATCTGCCTTCCTGAGTTGTTTTCAAAATCACTGAGTCAGGTCCTCTGTGCCTACCACATCATGAGCACTCGATCAGTCGATAGCAGCCTTGATGATGAGCATCTTGACTTACACGCAGGTCCAATATCTTCTGAATCTTTGAGTTTGGCTCTTTGGAGTCCTGCCTCAATGTGAAAAGTCTCACTAGACTTCTTACCTTGAGGGAGGGGGAACCACAGCACCATTAAATCCAAGCTTAAATGTTCCCGTGTTGGCAGCATCCCTCAAGCAAAAGCCAGCTTTGGTATTTTCTTGCCTTTTTGGATTAATTTTGGCTTTTAAATGTTCTTTTGTTTTCTTGCCATATCATTGAGCCATGTCATCAGGATTTTTGGGTCAAGGCATCAGGTCCAGCTTATTTCCAGAATCGGACTTCAGTTCTTCCACTTATCCAGTCTTCGGCAGAGAGGGACATACTTCCAGCTACAGTTACAACTCTCTTTTAGTTTCTTCATCTATAAGCTGCATCTGTAGGGGATCAGATCGGATGGGGAAGGTAGAAGGTGGACTGCAGAGAGCCCAGCTAGAACTGCAGCCTCTGCAGCTGGCACCATGCCCACCAGATCTTATTCCAGCCCACACTGACAATATAACAGTCAGTAGTGTTAATAATAGAGGACATTTATTAAGCACATACTGTATACCAGGCTCTATCCTGAGCCCTTCACCGACATCATCTCTTTTAATCCTCACAACAAGCCTCTGAGGTAAGTATTATCCCCCTTTATAGGTGAGGAAGTGGAGGCTCGGGGTACGACATTGCTCAAAGTCCTCCAGCTGGGCAGTGGCTGAGCGGGAACTCATCCCCACATCTCTGGGGCTCTGGAATCTCTGCTTTATTTTATTAAGCCAAGACCTGGGGCTACTTACTACTTTTCATTAAAAGTTATTTTTATTTCTAAAAGTATGGAAGTAACCCAGGCTGATTAAAAACCTAAATCAACCAAGGAAATCAGTTCATAGGTATAAAGAGAAACTTCTCCCATATCCAGTCATCAATACCACTCACCAGAAGAAGTAAGTACTGCTAATATGTTAGGGAATATTCCTCTAAAGCTATATATATAGCATAGATAGTATATTATATGACATATAATAACATCATGTTTTATAGTGTAAAAATTTTTTTACCTACATGGAATTATACTACAAACTTTCTCTACAACTTGATTTTTGCACTCAGTAATACATCCTGGACTTCTTTCCATGCTACTCTAACTTGGTTTGGCAAACTACTATGCCCACAGGCCAGCTCCAGCCCATCACCTGTTTTTGTAAATAAAGCTTTATTAGAACCCAGCCATGCCTATTTGTTTGCATAGTGCTGTGACTGCTTCTGCAGAGTTGAGCAGTTGAGAAGAGATGATGTGGCCTTCAAAGCTGAAAATAATTGTTGTCTAGACTTCTCAGAAAAGGTTTACTAATCCCCGCTCTAGCACATTCTTATTAATAAGCACCACTGCTTAACTATTCTCTATTACTGTCCCCCAAGCAACCAAAATTTAGTCTAGGAGGTACAAATATAATGTAACATACTAATGTTACATTAAAACGAAAAACTACTGGGGGAGAAGGAAGGATAGACTGATTTTTGCCAGGTTATGGCATTGGGAAAAATCATGGAAGACACCACATAGGTGGTGGATGGGGAGGTAGAAGGTGGACTGCAGAGAGCCCAGCTAGAACTGCAGCCTCTGCAGCTGGCACCATGCCCACCAGATTTATTCCAGCCCACACTGACACTATAAGAATCAGTAGTGTTAATAATAGAGGACATTTATTAAGCACGTACTGTATACCAGGCTCTGTCCTGAGCCCTTCACTGAAATCATCTCTCTTAATCCTCACAACAAGCCTCTGAGGTAAGTATTATCCCCCTTTATAGGTGAGGAAGTGGAGGCTCAGGGAGTACGTCATTGCTCAAAGTCCTCCAGCTGGGCAGTGGCTGAGCGGGAACTCATCCCCACATCTCTGGGGCTCTGGAATCTCTGCTTTATTTTATTAAGCCAAGACCTGGGGCTACTTACTACTTTTCATTAAAAGTTATTTTTATTTCTAAAAGTATGGAAGTAACCCAGGCTGATTAAAAACCTAAATCAACCAAGGAAATCAGTTCATAGGTATAAAGAGAAACTTCTCCCATATCCAGTCATCAATACCACTCACCAGAAGAAGTAAGTACTGCTAATATGTTAGGGAATATTCCTCTAAAGCTATATATATAGCATAGATAGTATATTATATGACATATAATAACATCATGTTTTATAGTGTAAAAATTTTTTTACCTACATGGAATTATACTACAAACTTTCTCTACAACTTGATTTTTGCACTCAGTAATACACCCTGGACTTCTTTCCATGCTACTCTAACTTGGTTTGGCAAACTACTATGCCCACAGGCCAGCTCCAGCCCATCACCTGTTTCTGTAAATAAAGCTTTATTAGAACCCAGCCATGCCTATTTGTTTGCATAGTGCTGTGACTGCTTCTGCAGAGTTGAGCAGTTGAGAAGAGATGATGTGGCCTTCAAAGCTGAAAATAATTGTTGTCTTCACTTTGTGTCAGGATAGGTGCTGAGAAGGTCTATCTGGTGAGCACATCAGGGTCCTCATGAAATAAAAAGTCCTCTGTTCCATGATGGCCAGTGCTGAATGCCAAGTGCCCGCCACCCAGCCAGGGCGTTGCTAGCCACTGATGGTACAAGCAGGAATGGGAATTAAAAGAAAAACCCAGGCCCAGATTAGAATGACACGTGACCTATGCGGTCTTTCTCCCAGTAACCCATAATCCCAGTCTTATCATGATAAACACATCAGACAGACTCCAGTAGAGAGGCATTCTAGAAAATACCTGACAAGTACTCTTCAAAACTCCCAAGGTCATAAGAAACAAGGAAAGCCTGAGAAACTTTCATAGCCAAGCGGAACTAAGGAGACATGACAAATATGTCTACCCTAGATGGGTTCTTGGAACAGAAGAGGGGCATTAGGTTAAAAACTGTGGTCTTTAGTAAATAATATATTATCAGTGGGCCATCAATGATAACAAAGGTACCATATTGCATATAAGATATTCGTAATAGGGGAAATTGGGTGTGGAGGTATATGGACATTCTCTCTACTCCGTACTCAGTTGTTCTGTACATCTAAACTGTTTTTAAAAAAATAGTCTAAAAAAATGAATGCGATCCTACTATGCCTTGGGAAACCTCATAACTCTCCCCAAAATTACTAGGTGTTAAGAGAAAAAAGGTACCCCTTTTAAATAAATGTTTTAAATACTGGGTTAAACAATATGAAAACAGATTTCTTTATTGTAGGACTTTTCAGAGCTTTTTCTTTTCTTTCTTTTTTTTTTTAACGGTACAAATGGCATTTGGTTGCAACAGGCAGTGGAAAAGGAGACGATACGACAGCTCCAGATCCTGTGGCAGCTTCAGACGCCCAGCCAGGGCGTTGCTAGCCACTGATGGTACAAACAGGAATGGGAATTAAAGGAAAAACCCAGGCCCAGATTAGAATGACACATGACCTATGCGGTCTTTCTCCCAGTAACTCATAATCCCAGTCTTATCATGATAAACACATCAGACAGACTCCCGTAGCTCAGAGCTTTTTCTTTTCTTTCTTTTTTTTTTTAACGGTACAAATGGCATTTGGTTGCAACAGGCAGTGGAAAAGGAGACGATACGACAGCTCCAGATCCTGTGGCAGCTTCAGACTCCGTGGCCGTCCTCAGAAAGCGAGCTTTTTCCTAATATTTGTAGTGACTCTCAAAGCAGCTTTTCTCAAAATTATTTTAGCATTTTTTTTTGCATAACATCCTTCCAATATTGATGTTTCCTATTGTAATACAGAAGTTCCCAGACAATATATGGACATTCTCTCTACTCCGTACTCGGTTGTTCTGTACATCTAAACTGTTTTAAAAAAAATAGTCTAAAAAAATGAATGCTATCCTACTATGCCTTGGGAAACCTCATAACTCTCCCCAAAATTACTAGGTGTTAAGAGAAAAAAGGTACCCCTTTTAAATAAATGTTTTAAATACTGGGTTAAACAATATGAAAACAGATTTCTTTATTGTAGGACTTTTCAGAGCTTTTTCTTTTCTTTCTTTCTTTTTTTTTAATGGTACAAATGGCATTTGGTTGCAACAGGAAGTGGAAAAGGAGGGGATACGACAGCTCCAGATCCTGTGGCGGCTTCAGACTCCGTGGCCGTCCTCGGAAAGCGAGCAAGCGAGCTTTTTCCTATATTTTTTAGGGACTCTCAAAGCAGCTTTTCTCAAAATTATTTTAGCATTTTTTTTGCATAACATCCTTCCAATATTGATGTTTCCTATTGTAATACAGAAGTTCCCAGACATGAGAATTTCATGAACCCTGCCTTGAAATGGATGCACCAGCATTCCATTGTCCATGTGCTTCTCATGTGTGGCCAGCTCAGGGCCTGAGACCATGACTTTGGGACCTGCAGTTCCTCGGGCAGTGGTGGAGTTGATGGTTTCTCCTGTGCTCTTTCCCCAGAGGCCCTCACCTTCAGCTGCTTCACGGAGCTTATGAAGAGAATGAACCAGAACTTCCCCCATGGAGGCGCGATGGACACACACTTTGCCAACATGCGGTCACTAATCCAGGTGTGACTCAGTCCTATTCAATAATATAACTTATTCCAACTCAACCCAATGGGCCTCAGGTCAACTTAATAGCCACTCCTAGTTTAACTCAACTTAGTAACTCAGCCCAGCTGAGTTGAACTCAAAAACTCAAGTCTGCCCAGCCAGCGTGGCTCAGTGGTTGAGCATTGACTTGTGAACCAGAGGTCAGGGTTTGATTCCTGGTCAGGGCACATGCTCGGGTTGCGGGCTCGATCCCCAGTGTGGGGTGTACAGGGGACAGCCGATCAATGATTCTCTCTCATCATTGATGTTTCTATCTCTCCCTTCCTCTCCCTTCTTCTCTGAAATCAATAAAAATATATATTTTTAAAAAAAAACTCACCACTTAACCTCTGAATTGAACTAAAAAATTTAGTTCAGCTCAACCTTAAGTCAACAACTCAAATCAGTTCTACCAGATTCATTTTCACTGAGCATTTACTCAGTCCAGGCACTATGACCACACAATGACCAAGACACGGCCCCATCCCTAAGAGGATGTTTGATTGTATTGGTTTTTTCCCTCAAAGTAATGTTTGGGTATATTACACATACACACACACACACACACACACACACACACACCTTTATTGAGATGTAATTCAAATATAAAATGTACCCTTTTTAAATTTACAATTCAGTGGGTTTTAGAATATTCACAGTTGTGAAGCCAACATCACAGTCTAATTTCTGAACATTTTCATCCTCCCAAAAAGAAACTCCATACCCAGTAACATTAGTTCCTCTCCCCAGCCCCTGGCAACCACAAGCCTACTTTCTGTCTTACACATTTATCTTTTCTGGACATTTCATATAAATGGCATTATACTACAATGACCAAGACATGGCCCCAGCCCTAAGAGGATGTTTGGTTGTATTGGTCTTTTTCCTCAAAGTAATGTTTGGGTATATTACACACACACACACACACACACACACCTTTATTGAGATGTAATTCACATATCATAAAATATACCCTTTTTAAATGTACAATTCAGTGGGTTTTAGAATATTCACAGTTGTGAAGCCAACATCACAGTCTAATTTCTGAACATTTTCATCCTCCCAAAAAGAAACTCCATACCCAGTAACATTAGTTCCTCTCCCCAGCCCCTGGCAACCACAAGCCTACTTTCTGTCTTACACATTTATCTTTTCTGGACATTTCATATAAATGGCATTATATAATATGTTGCTTTTGGGTCAGGCTTCTTTCACTTAGCATAATGTTTTCATGGTTCATCCACGTTGTAGCATGTAGTATTTGTTTTTATTGCCAGATAATCTTCCATTGAGTGAATATACCATTTTTTTTTATCCATTCATCTGTTGATGGACATTTGGGTGGTTTCCACTTTTTGGCTATTATAAATAATGTTGTACATTTATGTATAAGTTTTTATGTGGACATATGTTTTCATTTCTCTTGGGGACATATATCTATATGCAGCCACACCATTTTACATTCCTACCAGCAGCATATGAGGCTTCCAGTTTCTCTCCATCCTTGTCAACACTTTGCTGCCTGTCATTTTTATTATAGTCTTCCTAGAGGTGTCAAATAGTATCTCATTATGGTTTTATTTGTATTTACCTAATAACTCATGACATGGAGAATTACTCATGTGCTTATTGGCCATTTGCATATCTATTTTGGAGAAATGACTAGGTTAGGTTGAGCGAGGCTGATTTCTACTTCAAATCCTTTGCCCATTTTTTACTGCACCTGGTTATTAAGGGCTGTATGGTGTCCAGTATGGGGATGGACCATCATTTATCCAGCTGTCCCCTCTGGTCTGGCCTTTCGTCAGGAGGCTGATACCCACCTTTCCTTCCTCTGACAGATCCTGGACTCAGAGCTCTTTGAGCTGATGCATCAGAATGGAGACTACACTCACTTCTACTTCTGCTACCGCTGGTTCCTGCTGGATTTCAAACGAGGTACAAACTTCAAACTGGGGCCTTGTTCCCAGTCTCTTTGTAGCAGAACCTCAGGGAAAAGATACTGCAGAGCAAAAGCTAGTGTAAGAGAGTAGCACCTACTTATTGAATTCTCATTATCAGTTCGCCTACCTTATCTTGCAGTGACACCATGCACTAGTAATACTGCAGTCCCCATTGTACAGATGAGCAAACTGAGACTGAGAAAATTTGAACTCCGAGCTGAGAGGAATAGAGCCATTTCCCTTCCATTCTATGATGCTGCTTATCAGAGACCAAGAACTATGACGCCTTTGGAGCATGTTTCACATGGGACTTAGATATTATGGAGAACACAGTACACTGCTATTGCGCTAATTTGGGATGATACTAAGAATAACATCTAACACATACAGAGGTGTTCATTAAGTGCCAGGCACTGTGCTGAGCCATTTCTATGTATTATCTTGTTAGTCTTTTACTACCATCACCATCACCCCACTTAGAGATGAGGAAAGAGAGTATCTAGCCCAAGGTCACCTTGATGGAGCTAGAATTCAGACTGAGTTTATTGGGCATAGAAAGTCTTGCTCTCTTCTTTTTCTTTTTAAATTACATTTATTGGGGTTACATAGTAACATTATGTAAATTTTAGGTATACAAAGCCTTGCTCTTAACCATTGCTCTATTCTAGCTCTTCACTAGACCCAGATGCAGCAGCCAATTCTGTGTACAGGGGAGAGGGGAGATACACCCCCCATGGGTGCTAAAAGAGATGGGAGGGTACAGGAAGAAAGGGGGAGACTGGTCAAGGGGTAGAACTGGGATAGGTTAGTGTCAGTCAAACTGCTTAATTCCTCCACTTGCAGAATGTCAGAGTTGAAAACTTACAACCCACCTTATTTGTTAGCCCATTCTACAGATGGGGAAAACTGAGGCTTTTGATGGTCAAATGGCAGAGTCCAGGTCTCCGAGCTCCTGGCTTGAGCTCTGCTGCACCAGGACAGAAGCTCAGAGCACAGCTGGCCTGGGATTTTTCCAGAGGGTGGGCAGCACCATGAGCCCTGTGGCTGACTCTCTCCCCATGTGTGTGTGCGTTGGTGTCTGTCTCGGCAGAACTTGTCTATGATGATGTCTTCTCTGTCTGGGAGACCATTTGGGCAGCCAAACACGTCTCATCCACCCACTACGTCCTGTTCATCGCGTTGGCTCTGGTGGAGGTCTACCGTGACATCATCTTAGAGAACAACATGGATTTCACAGACATCATCAAGTTCTTTAATGGTACCCACACGACCAGGGTCTCATCGGAGGGGTGCAGGCTTCTAGAGGGCCCCTTCCTGGGGCCTTGGGAGGGATGGAAATTTATTGAGATTGACACACAGGAAGGGCTGGAGAGGGTTCTGCCCACTTCTTGTGTCTCTTCCCAATGGATGAGTCGACCTCCTGTAATGCTGAGGATATGTCTTCCCCTGGGATCTGGCAGAAGGAGCAGGGGTGTTGAAATCGAGCTCGGGGCAAACCCTGGCTCTGCCACTAGCCAGCTGCGCCCATGGACAAGTACTTCCCTCTCTAAACATCTGCTTTCTCATCTGTGAAATGGGGTAGCAGTGTCTGCTTCAGAGGGTTGGTGTGTGTAGGAAAAGCAAGCAAAGGAAGGAAGGCAGTTGATGTGAATAAAAAAGGAATAGCCTTGGAAATCAGAACAGATGTGGATTCTGATCCCAGCTCTGCCACTCAGGAGTTGGGGGATCTTAGGCAAATGGCTTCTTGTCTCTGGGCTTTAGCTCCTGGAGGATGAAAATGGTACTAGACCTCAATCACAGAGATGTCAGGAGAGTTAAATGAGACAATAAAAGCCCATCGCATGATAGCTAATCCATATGAGGGGCCCATAGCAGGAAGCTGTTGTTACTGTTTTTACTACTTATAACATTTTTTTTTAACCAAAGAAGGTTTTGGAAAAAGCAAAAGGAGAAAAAAAGCCATCTGTGACCTTCCCCTGGAAACATCATTATTTTATTTTAGAATAATTGTAGATTTACAGCAAAGTTGCAAAGAGAGTACCAAGTGTTCCTGATGCCCCTTACCCAGCTACCCTTAGTGCTAATAATAAGTACAGTTACTGACGGGGGTGTGCACCCGCTGGACTTGGCCCGCCTTCTCAAGCCTTGGAATTCGGTTGACACCACCACCTTCATTCCCTGTGCCACGTGATTTTCACTTGCTTTCTGAAAACCTAGCTGTGCAAAGCTATAAAGTCATCAACAGAAATACAATGTAGTTAGTGAACTCACTCACTCTAGTGTTCAATAGATGTGGCCTATTGCGGTGTTTCCCTCTAAATTTTTCTGGGTTCACAGTGGTGCTCTCAGGTACCTCGGCACCCAGTTTGGGAACCAGGGTCTTACTCCCTTTTTCCTCTGCTAAATGACTTCCTTATGATATATGTCTAAGTTTATGATTATTCTGCCTTAAAGATTTGACCATTTTGTGTGGCTCTTGATAACTTTATTTATTTATTTATTTATTTTGCTTTCCGTCTTTCCTTCTCCCTTCTTTTGCTTCCTTCCACTAACACTTCTAAGCATCTACTGTGTGCCCAGCATTGCTTTCTGTCTTTCCCTCCCCCTTCTTTTGCTTCCTTCCCCTGACACTTCTAAGCATCTACTGTGTGCCCAGCATTGCTTTGGGGTGCAGGCTTCTAGAGGGCCCCTTCTTGGGGCCTTGGGAGGGATGGAAATTTACTGAGATTGACACACAGGAGGGGCTGGAGGGGGTTCTGCCCACTTCTTGTGTCTCTTCCCAATGGATGTCTTAAAAAGTTTCCAGGCACTGAATTTGTAGGAAGGGGATGGGAAGACCTAACATTTTTAAGCATGCATTGAACCAACGTCATCTCATTTGATCTCACAGTAACCTAGTGAAGCAGGTACTGTTACAATCCCCATTTTACAGATGAGGAAACTGAGGTCCAGCGGTGCCTCAGGACTTCCCCACGGTCTCTGCTTCCCGATCCCTCTGGGGCTGAAGTCAGAGGAAAATGATGGGAACACCCCAGAGACCCTTCCAGGTGCTGGAAGTGTGTCCCGAGGATGGACACAGAGGGAGGCTCACGAGCTGTCCCCTTCTGCTCTTTCAGAAATGGCCGAGCGACACAACACCAAGCAGATCCTGAAGCTGGCCCGGGACCTCGTGTACAAGGTGCAGACTCTGATTGAGAACAAGTGAGGGCCGCCTCACCCGGGCAGCCTCAGCCAAGCTGCCACCTGCCTGTCGTGCCCACTTTTCCTCCCAGCCACCTGGGGAGCGAGGTCCTGGTGTCTGTCTGTGAGCATGGACTTCTGTGCAAAGAGAAACTGGCCCGACTTTGGCCGCCGGGCAGGTGGGGTCGAGGGCTTGCCCCTTGAGTTCAGCCTTACGTTTTCCTGTTTGACCAAAGATCGCCCGTGTCTGGGATTTCTCCTTGCGGGAACTGTCGGTGGATGGAGGGAACATCTTTGTTCAAGGCCTCCAGACGTCTTCTCTGTTCTTCTCTCCCCATCCCTCCAGACTGTCTTGTCAGATGAGACTTGGGATGGGATTGTTTTGGAAGTTGGTGTAGGAGTCTGTGGGGTGCCCTCTGTACTCTGGATGGGGCCTTTGCAGATGTTCCAGAACAGCCTGGAAGACCGGCTGGCCGCAAGGTTTCTGCACTTAGCACTGTTGACATGTGGACTGGGTCATCCTTTTTGGGGGGCGGGGGGTGGGAGGGTGTTCTGCACATTGTAGGATGTTGAGCAGCATCCCTGGCCTCTACCCACCAGATGCTAGTAGTACCCTCCTCCCCACCCCATTGTGACAACCCAGAATGTCCCGGATATTGCCAAATGTCCCCACTGGCTTAGAGGAGGGGCTACCAGTGAATCACCCAACCGGTTCTCTTTCTACCTAAGCTGCCTGTGTCCCGAGGCCCCCTCCCATTTAGGAAAGGCACGCGGGAGGCCTCACACGTTTCCCCTTGAGGGGTGAGATTCTGTCCGCTGTATTCTCTCATTTTTCTCCTCCACCTGACTCTGGGAGAGACTTCTTTTCAAGAAGGGAGTCTTCCTGCAGGGCTGTGGGATCCCAGAAGTGTCTGCAGGTGGGAGACAGTCCGGGGCTCTTCTGGGTTTCACCCAGAGCCCCCTGTGTTCCCCCCAGGAAAGACTGCCTCTCCTTCCACATGTGGGGTCTGGTGCTCCCGGAGCTTGGAATGTGTGTGTTGGTGCAGCTGTTCCCCAAGTGCCCTTGCTCACTCAGGACGAAGGAAGAGGAAGACAGAGGGCAGCCAGGGTGATGTGTGTGTTTTCCACGGTGGCTCAGTCAGGAAATGGTCCCCGCCACGTCTTCTCTCAAAGGGTCGCCAGTCCACAAACAGATCCTGAGTTCGGTGGCTCAGCTGCCCACCTGTCCTCCAGGAAAGTGGACCTGCTCACTCCGTTCTGATAATGCACCGGAATCGGGGGCAACAGAGCCGGGGAACTGCTCTTCCCAGGAATGGCAGGTCGGGTTTTGGAGATGGCAGGAGACACATACACGTTGAAGCATTGACACAGGGTGGTTAGTCCTCCCACCCTGAGCAAACCAGGACCGGAGAAGCCCCTGCCCTGCGTGCTGGGGAAGCTCTTCCCTCGGTCACAGCGCCTCCAACTGCATCTCAACTGCATCTGAGTCCCCACCTTCCCCTAGTGGGGCTAATGCTAGGGAAGCTCTTCCCTCGGTCACAGCACCTCCAACTGCATCTGAGTCCCCACCTTCCCCTAGTGGGGCTTCCTGGGAGGGACAGACAAGGCCCAGAGGGTTCTTGCTTCCGAAGAACGACCATCCTCTCACCCTGGTTCCCCAGTTTCCTTGGATGGGAAAACTGTGCGAAAGGCCCCTCCGAGAAAAGTGCATTCTGCCACATAGCTGCTCATAGCAGGGGATGTTTCGTTAGCACAACCCAGGGCCTAGACCCTCTGGTTCTTACTTATTTTTTGACAGAGTAGTCACACAGCACAGCACAAGATTTCCTCTCTGCCTTCTCTCGTGGTGTCCTGGGACACGTCGTGGCTGTGGCTTGGACTAACTGCTCTCTGTTCAGCTCTCTGCTTCTTCAGGTGTCCGTGAGCTGCGTCGTCGTCGTGTCCTAGAGTTGAGTGTGTGGGAGTCGTTCTGTCTGCTGCGTGCCCTCCTTTCTCAGTGTTACCAGCACATCTTGTAACTGTTTACTGAAGAGTTGTGTCTATATAGAGAGAAAACATATATAAACCAAGAGGTGTGTGAATCTGAGTTGTTTTTGTTTCTGTGTTTGGGGGAATTTTTTTTTTTAATTTGAAAGAAATGTTTGTTTCTGAAGACTCCGTCCTCCCGCCGCAGTGGCTCACATCCCCGATGGACACGAAAGTTCAAGGCAGGTGAATCACTTCGCATCCTTGTATCTTAGCTGTTCCCACGAGTAATGCTGCAGAACAGACCACCCCAAGGCTAGTGGCTTAAAGTGGACATTTATTTAGCTGGTGACTCTGTCAGCAATGTGGGCTGTGTTCAGCTGGGAGGTTCTTCTGGTCTCAGATGGACTTCATGTGTCTGTGGACAGCTGGGCTGGCTGTTGGCCAGGACAGTGGGGCAGCGGGGCCCTGTGTCTCATGTCCTCCAGCTGGCTCGCTCAGGCTTGTTTACATGGCCGTGACGGCATTTCCAAGACAGTGAGCAGAAGTGTGCAAGGCTCGAGATTGGCATCAGGTCATTTCCACCATATTCTCTTGGTCAGAGTAAGTCACATGGCTGAGCTCAGACTCAGAGAATGGGGAGGTAGACTCCACCACTCCATGGGAGACTTTGGAAAGTGACATTGAAAAGGGGTGTGAGCCTGACTGGCATGGCTCAGTGGTTGAGCATCAACCTATGAACCAGGAGGTCATGGTTAGGGCACATGCCCAGGTTGCAGGCTCAATCCCCAGTTTAGGGCATGCAGGAGGCAGCTGATAAGTGATTCTCTTGTCATCGATGCTTCTAGCTCTCCCTCTCCCTTCCTCTCTGAAATCAATAAATATTAAAAAAAAAAAGGGCTGTGGATACAGGTGGGGAAATCATTGAGGCCATTTTGCAAACAGTGTACCGTGTACCCCAAGTTCCATGCACAAGAGTGGTCCCCAGGTGGGGATGATTTCTTGGTTATGACCCCAGTTTCCTTGAGTTCCCATCATAACAACCGGATAAGGTTGGCAATATTTCACACACCTCCATTTTACAGAAAAATACAGAGAGGTCCAGAGAGGTGAAGTGGCTTGCCTGAGGTCACAAGGAAGCGGTAGAGGTGGCATTTGAACCTAGGTACGTGGTGATTCGTATAGCTGTAAAATGGGCTCTTTTCACTCCTGAGAAAATGTTATTTCCTCACTTCTGGCATAAGGATGATTTTCTCAGTGTCGCTGGAGAAGCGGATGGTCCTCCCCTGTACTTTGGTCGTGCGGGGCCACCTGATGACGGCCAGGATGCTGGCCAGGACTGCGTTGAGGATGGCGGTCACATAGCCCCAGCCCAGCTGGCACTGTCCACTGCGGTACACAGAGGAGGCTCCACAGGCCTCCTTGGCAAATGGGGAGGCCAGGCCGATAGGGAAAGCCAGCAGGCCCACAACGGTGGTGGTGGCTGGAGACAGCAAAGAAGAAAGCCAGTGTGTCAGGGGCTCTGGGCTAACCTTCCCCGACTCCCTCACTCATCCACCCTCCTGTCCACCCGTCCGTCCATCCATCCATCCATCCATCCACCGATTCATCCATTCATTCACTAATTTAGCAGCCTGTCTATCCTTAAAATTTTTTATTAAAGTATAGTTGGCATTCAATATAATATTAGTTTCAGTTGTACAACTGAAACAGAGTGATTTGACATTTATATACCTTACGATGTGATCACCACAGTAAGTCTAGTAACGGTCTGTCACCATGCAAAGTTAATATCATAATAGCACATCTTTCCTTTTATCCACCCATCACTCAACTATCCTTGTGCCCTTTTGTCCATCTACTCAGCCATCCATTCAACCATATTCTCATTCATTCATTCTCTCCATCCCTCTATCTGCCTATCCATTCACTCATCCAAACATCTATCCACCTGCCCACTTAGCCACCTGCCCCCCGCATCCGTCCGTCTGTCCATCCATCCATCCATCCATCCATCACCTGCCCCCCCGCCTCCGTCCATCCATCCATCTATCTCCACCTTCCATTCATATTCCAATCTACCCATTCATCCTTATCAATTCATCTACTAAGACATCCATTGTCCACTTATCAATTCATCCATCCACTTACCCTCCCACCCATTCATTCATTCATTCACCAGTCCACCCATTCATTCACCACAATTGTTAGAGGTGCTGTTGTGGACACTGATGATGCTAAGAAAATGGGCCGGACACCTCCTCACGTTGGGCACTCCCAGTGCAGGAGAATCAGGTGAACCCTCAGCCTCACTTGCTGCTCCTCAGCCACACCAGTCTCCTTGCAGTTCCCTGCACACCCCTGCTCTCTTGTCTCCGTGCCTTTGCCCCTGATGTTCCATTACATGAAATGCCTTTCTACATTTGACCATAACTCCCACTTGTCCTTCCAGACTCAGCTCAGGTGATGCCTCCTCCAGGACACCTTTAACATCCTTCACCCTCCTGGAATTTTTCTTTGCACCCTGTGCTTATCCCCGTTGTGCCAAATATCTATTAGTTGTACATGCCTGATGTACCCCATCCTCACCAGCCACTGTGCAAGCCTGGGCCAAGGACTGTATCTCCAACCATTGAGCATCTGTTATGTGCAAAGCACCATGGTAGATGCTGGTGATATTAAGACAGACATGTCCTCACCCTCATGGAACTGACATTCCAGTGGAGAGAACTGGACAGTAATCAGGAAAGCAGATACGAGATTTCAGGTAGTAAGTGCTGTGCAAAATACAAAGCAAGACAAGGAGAATCTAAGGAGAGGGGAGCTCCTACCTGAAGGCCACGGAGGACCTCGCTGAGACAGAGCCCTTAATGAAGTAGGGAAGCAAGATAAGTGAAGATGTGAGAACAGGAGTCCACGCAGAGGGAACAGGCTGGGTGCGTATGAGCAACAGAAGGCAGGCCGGGGTGGCTGGAGCATGTGGAGCCTGGCAGAGGGGGCCAGAGGTGAGGTTGGTAAGGGAATGGGGGGTTGATCACGTGGAGCCTCATAGGCCACCATAAGGAGTTTGGATTTTACTCTCTGAGACAGGAAGTCAATGAAGGGTGGATGAGCCTGTCTGGTGGCAGGATCTGATGTCAGTTTTAACAGGACTCATTTGGCCAGCATGTGGCAAACATTCTAAGGTGGCAGGCAGCAGAGGGGCCCATGAGATGGTTATTGTTCTACTGCAGATGAGAGATGGTGGAGAATTAATTGGGTATGATTACCATCAAGGCCTGGGCTAGCTCATTACAGAGACTAAGTGTGAGTCAGGGAAAAGCAACTGTTCAGGGCAGATGCAACCCTGCAGTCTCACAGCTTAGCAAGTGGAGCGTAGGCTAGGTTTCGGCGTCTGTCAGCCCTCCGCTGGCACCCTGTGCAGTACCCGCGCTGCCCAGCTGTGTGTGGTGGTCCAGGTAGAGATGATGCAAAGTGGATGGATAAGAGAGAAATAAAGGGGGACCAACTATTAGGACTGAGATTAGCTCAGGGGAGGAGAGGGTGCTGTTAAGGATAGCATCCCCTCCGCCCCCGCCCCTGACCATTTCTGGCTTGCTAAAGGGCCAGGAAGAATCTACACTCACTCCTAGGGCTTATCTCTGAGATTTGACCCAGGAGGCCAGACCTGCTGACAGGTTTTTCCCTTTCATTCATCATTCATTCCACAACATGTCTGGGCTGCTTACTATGTGACAGTGGGTTTACCTGCAGCTGCCTGCACCCCCCGCATGTTGCCACTGCCCCTCCTTGGGCACAGCTCTTTGGGGGCCAGGACCCAGGACAGGAGGAGAATTGCATGGAAGGCCACCAGGAGCCAGCCTCCAAGGAGAAGCGCAGCTGAGACCTGCCAGGAGGAGAGAGGAGGGGGCAGGGTGTTGACTGGGTCGGGGCAGGAGGATGTTCCCCTGCATATTGACCAGCTACTGAGTCCTTATCCCCATTTTACACGTCAGCAAACTGAGGGCCAAGGAGGTAGGGTCATTTGCCTCAGGGCACACGGCTAATTAAGTAGTAGAACCAGGATTAAGATCTAGGTGTACAACCACCACACCCGACCTATACTGACTACCTGCTATACGGCGGATCACCTTTGTCGTTACCGGTTTTGAAGGCTGTATAATTTTCCTTACAGGTACCGGACTGGGAGTCCTGGCCCACTGCCCCCATTGTTGAGTTTGGTAATGTGCCTCATAACAGAGACTTCCAACACCTTGGCTGTGGTTTTCCAACCTAGCAGTGCGTAGAGGGTGGCCAGGTAGGCGTGTGCAGGTTGGACACTGCACAACTCAGACGCACGGGCATCATAGATTTGCATATTGATTACAGTAATTCTCCAGCAGATGGCAGTTTAGTGTCCTAAAGAAGGGGCCCCTTGTCTTAATTTGTACAAAGGTGCTATATGGGCTGACAGCTGCTTTTAGGATCATCCTGGGTGTTTGCTAAAATGCAAATA